CAACAAGAGAGCATCCGCAGTGCGGGCGCAAGACGACGCCCGTTTCGACCAAATGCGGGGGTGTGCAGAGGTGCACTGACTGTTGCTTTGGATAACAAGGCCCCAGGAGCGGCCAGAAATCATCTATGACAACCCCTGCCGGCCGGGGTTATTCGGCAGTGGCGGGAGCTTGGCGGTAACTAAACATGAAGGGCGGACTAAACTCCGGACTATAATAGGGAATTGGACAAAAGTCGGCGGCGGACAATGTGGATATATCAACAGTATTCCCGTAATAAACATCAAAGAGTTCGCCAGGGCGCCGCCAGGGATGGAGCTGGGTATGTAGTGGGTACGGATACCTAGGCTGCCGTAGGTGTAGTTCGGACCAAAGGTACCCATGTGTCTCAAAACCGGAAACGAAACATCCTGGCGGCCTTACTCTATACGTAGGCAAGTAATGCAAGAGACAAACCCATGTTCTTTGCTCATCCCTTGTCTCTCGACTCGGCCCGGTTCATTTCTCACAAACGTCAGACTTCGGGTTCATGTCGTAGACAACAAAGCTTGCACCACAATTGGCCCGATCGCGTCGCGATCCCGCACCACAGCTAACTCTGTCTTGTTCGTTTTAGCTTCTTCTTCTTCTTTTTGTCGTCGAGACTCGTGAGAGGGAGCGACAAGGGACACAAGGCGGCCAAAGTTAAACTGCAGAATAGTCAACATGGCTACTCATCCGTAGGAGGTGATTAATTGCAGAGCGAGAGGAAAACGAAACACTCTCAATGGGATGATGCCCCCGTACCGACACTTGGCGCGGAACCATCTGCACGACAGATCTGACAGATTTGCGGACAGATGCACGCCTTGTCGATCATGATGCGACGCCATCTCGTCTGCCTCTGCGTTTTGGCTGCTGAGACCTAGCTCCGTCGCAAAGAGGAAAGGCGCCTTGGGCAGTGGGCGGGCGGGCAGTGACGGTGAACCAACGTCCGTCGAGCAAGCATTTGCATTCCGGTGGGCACGGCACCAAGTCCGAGCGGAAGCGGCATCATCGTGATGGACTCGTCCAGACCGCCCTCGGGATACACAAGAGGGCGCGAAATCACGCTTGGGGGGGGGCTGCAATGCTGGCCGCAGTTCTGCCTCTTGCAGATGCACCAACGCCATCACAATCTCGTAGTGCCTCTTTTCATTGGCAAAAATCGGCCAGTCGGGGCTTTGCTTTCACGTCCTTGCGGGCGAGCGCGCTGTGGCCTGTCGTCGGATGTTTAAGAGGTCGAAGGGCCGACTTGGACTCGGCTAGATGCAGTATGGCGCTCTCATGGCGTTAAATGAGGCGTTCGGGCCGCTGAACGGCGACCTCGTTTTCAAAGAAAAACATTTACGTACCTAGCTGTTGGACGACATCGACATTCCGCCCACTTCCGGCGCGCGGATAGGGCGGGCGTCGTCCGCTGTTGTGTTGCCGGAGTCTGGAGCCGTCGTAACTCGTAAGGAGGGTACTTCGTCGCCAAGCAAGGGGGTGCGCGTGCTTGAAAGTCCCCCGTATCCCGCCCAGGCAAGACCGATCTGGCTTGTGTGACCCCCGCGAGAAGTTAAAAAAACTGCATCACGAAAAGGCGAGGTGCTTACTATCGCAACCGGTGTTGCCAGTGATGCCGGGAATGCTCTGAAGCAGTTTCTCGCCAAGGTAGTTGATTAGTTGCCATGTTGGGCTTGCCCGCAGCAAGTGCCTGCCAAGCCTTAGGTGAGAACTTCCACTGTAATGTAGAAAGATCACTACTGTAACTAGGTTGCCTGCCTCAGTCCGGGACAATTGGCATCGCATCGCGTCTCTGGCGTTCATCCTCCTGGTGTTGCATAGACGGCTCCTCACAACTCCTGCGGAGCGAACATCGATATACCGGTCAACAACGGCGTGGGTGCTGGCTATCTGCTGCTTCTGTGCCCGCCGCCGTGTCGCACCTCTTGCCGATTATCTGGCTCGCCATAAGATTGCCAAAGGGTCATGCGTCCCTTCGCCGTCGAAGACTCGAGCAGCCGTCGGATGCTAAGCATCTCCAAAAGGGTTGGCGTCCATGGTCCTGCCGGGGCGCGTAATGCATGGGGGCAGAGGTTGCCGCCACCACCATTAATCTAGAGCCCATGACGATAACGAAGGCCGCAGTGCGTAAGCTCATGATAGTCATCTGCTCTGGCGGAGGCACGCATCGCGGCTCTTTCTCGCTCTAATTTAAACCCAACATCATCATGACTTTGAGGGCTCGAAGTTCAGTTTTTGAGGCTGCTGCCGCCGCCGCTTTGGCTGTGCAGGCCGCAGCGGTTCGGCAATCCAGGCGGGTCCCATCCTGGGGATACAGGGTTCCCTCTCAAGACTTAGCCCTTTTGAGGGGCCTTGTCGGATCTGTAACACTCCCCTGCGCGTCGATCTTGGCCCGTGCCCTCAGCTTGTCGGTGGCTAACTCGCCCAGCTCCCCTCCACGCATGCTCCTTCCAATCTCGTTCCCAATCATCATTTTGATGAGTTTCTCGTATGCGGACGCCGACGAGGCTCAACCTCGTCCTCCCGTGTCGGCAAGGGTTGCCGGCGCCGCCGATGTATCCGCGGGATGGGATCGGGAAGGCAGCTTGAATCTTTTGTCACAAGGCCATGATGTGCCATGGCATGCTGAGAGCCCCGGTTGTTGCCTGATAGCCTCCACCATTACTTCACCGCACTAACGCAACAGTCATACAGTAGTAACCCGTAAAGTAGACCGAGCCCCCCGCAAGCCCCGCTGTTTAGGGTGGATGTCCTAATCTGGACCTTGTGTTAACGTCCTGCCGTCTTTGGCAAAGATCGTCTATCTCCAGAATCTCGAATCAGTTTTCTGCCAAACACTGGCCCATGAATTCGAGAGATCCGGTAGTGCCGCGTGACACGTCTTCACTTTTTGGGTCAGGGTCCAGGCTCTGTGCTTGACCGCCCTCAGCATGAGAGGCGGAGAACCAGCGTGGTTCCTGATCAACAGGCTGGTACCTGTCCATCATGTACGAAATAAAACCGTGATCCATTCTGGGCGCCAAATTGTGCGTGGTCATGTGAGTGCTGCGAGTGCTGTTTTTCTGTGCAGAACTGCAGATGCACTGGTCCCCTTCCTTCACAACCACACAGCCAGTTATACAGTATCCATGGGAAGTTCCGAGACATATCCGGCCGGCCTTGGCGTGTGGTATGGATTCCATGAACAGGCCGAATGCTCTGCGAACCGTCCATTTCTTGATCCACGGCAACGGCCCAAGGAGGTGCAGCACTGGTTGTGTGGCTGCGATTGCGTGCTCGCTCTCGGCCTAATTAAAGATATTTGATTCCTCGAAAGCCAGCAGCCTGTTGGTGTCTTCAACTAGCGACAAGAGCGATGGTAGTCTCGAGAAAAGCGACAACGACAAGGAGCATGTACATTTTCAAGAAAGTATTCGGCGACCTACCCCCGAGCGCCTGGCAGGGGTCCCCGTAAAGGGCTTGTTTCGTGTGGCCGAATTTGGCTAGCACAGCAGAAGATTTCGAGATCCCGCTGCCGGGGTGAGTCTGAGGGCTCAATCAAGCAATCCCCGGCTTCAACAATCTTAACACACAACGGTAATGTGGGGGACTTGATATGAGATAGAGTCCACTTCCACACTTGGCATTTGGGACCAGGCCGAAAGTTTCAACAACTGTTTGGTGAAATCAGAAACTTCAATGAGAGCCCTCAAGAAACCGACACTAGCTCAGAAAACAATCCAATCGATAGGCATGGCGGTGGCAGGCATGCCCCTCCTCTCAATGCAAGCCACAAGAAGATCAACGCCATCGACGCCTTGGTCGGGCATCAGGGTACATGTGTACATACAAGACGAATGCAGATAGGCCAATAGGACAGTTTCCACACACGTATGTGGGGGAGAGAGGATTCGCACTTCCTCGAGACAGGCGGGGGTTGCATGTCGTCCACGGCACACCATCATCTTGCTACTCTAGGGAGCTAAAGAGCCTGGGTGATTGGGTGTGTGTGCGGGAGAGGCAGAGGGAGAAGGAGAGGGACTATCGCAATGAAGAGTTTTCACATGGAGAAGGTAAGCACAGGGAACAGACAGCCCGACTCAGGTCTCGACATGTTGACTGGCTGATAAAGCAGAGCTGGCCTCAGGCGTGCCCAAAAGAGGAAATGAGCAACGCTGCGTCAATTCTGCATGCGTTTTTTGGAGCATGCTGCAGAACAATGCAGGTGGGTGAAGTTGAAGAGCTGGTGTGCGTCCCATGAGCCCTCCAGGTTCTGAAAGAAAACCTATGAACTGCGCTGTGGGTTGTGGGCGGTGTGATATCGTTGCTCCGAACCTCGTCCGAGTGAGTGTGTGTGCTCCGTCCATAAGTATTCATCCATACGTGATTGTATTCACTGAAGGAGAGGCAGGTGTGTCGATGGCTATAGCGGAGCCCGCAAGATCGAGCCGCACGAACGAGGGGACGTTGTCGGTGTTAGCGTCCGACAAAGCGGGCAGCGGCGGCTCCTATGCTAAACCGGTCCTAAGGCTGAAACTTGAGATTATCGCGGGAAGGCCAAGAGGCAAAAGCGAAGCGCGATGTTCTCAATACCGTCTCCGGAGTCTGTGGCTTGGCGGGGGTTGCTCTCGTCGATGGAGGCGTCAGGGACTTGCCCCGATCCTAGGTGCCGTCGTAGGCCCTTGACCCCAATGCCAAGCGAACAGCAGGGGAAGTTGTGGGGCGTGCACCATCCACCGTCCACCTCCATCGTTGATTTGCTGTTGAGTCTGAATTTATTCCCGTGAGTCGCTGGTTGTGGCTGGCCCCACTCGACTTTTCAGGTCCCCGGCGCGGACCCTAAAGCCCGAAGAGAAGACGTCAAGGCCCGCAACAAGCCGTGGCCGGGCTTGAGGTAACTTGGGCTAGTGTAGTTCCCTTCGACAACCCTACTTATCGTCCAATACAGTAGATTGAGGGCATATCATAGTTGTCGTGATTGAGGCCTAGAATGCCTCGGCAACGGCGTCCCGCAGACTGCAGCTGGATGACGTGACACGCGAAAACGCCGAAAAGCTCCAAGGGGAAGAAAGAAAAGAAGAAGGAAAGGGACGAACACGCCCGTCGCCAGAATGCGCAAACTGGAGATGGGACGCCCAAGCGGGCTCCGCCATGTCGGGGGGTTTTTCGTGCAGAGAGCTGGGGAACCTTGATGGGGGGGATGGCGACAATGCTTGAGTGGAAAGACGTCAGCCCCCGAGTTGAGGGCCGCACCGCAGGCCTTGGCAGCAGCACGCGCACAACTATCCGTGAGTCTAAAGTAATTGTTCACTCCATCTCTAGGCTGGGCTGGAGCGGAGCGGAGAGGGCTGTGATGTGCTGTGCTGTGCTGTGCTGTGCTGTCGATAGTCTGTCAGTAGGTGGGTTGCCGGGGAGAACGGGATGATGAAGCCCAGCCCGTACGGCTGTCCGGTCGTCAGTTAGGGCGTAGAGAAGCGTCATATGTAACCCTCTAGCAAACCGTCCTTGTTTTCAGGCCCGGGCTTTGGAGGCATATCATCTGTGAGCATTGCCTCGTTCGCGTGCGGGTCCGCTGTGCGACATGTCCACTGCCCCATACTCGCTGGCGCGTTGATGTCAGCGTCCATGCCAAGGGCTGGTTGTTGTCTGCGGCCTGCCAGAAAAGCAACTGATTGCTGTCTATGGGACGTAGGCACGTACATACATACGAGATGTATGTATGGACTGTATGTATGTACATACGTAGTGCTAAGGCATGTGTGTAGAGGTTAGTTGCCTCTGTCAGTGGGTGGTAATAGCTTACTCCCGTCTCCTCTCGTCCAGTCCAGTCCAGTCCAGCCCGAGATCTGAGAAGCGGAAGGCTGCCAGCCTCTTCGATTGCCATCGTTGCTTTAGGTTGGTCTGCATTTCGTCACGGCAACTGCACAGCACAGCAAGCACTGCACTGCATTGCACAGCACTGCCCTGCACTGACTGCACGTACTGCACGCAGGCGATGGCCACGAAGTATTTTGCTGTTTGCTGTTCAGCTCAATTGGCTTAGCGCATCCATGACTACCGGCCACCTTAGGGCCTTCGTCTGTTGTTGGCTTGCTGTTTTCGGCAGGCTGCTGGATGCTGCTTTGCAAAACTGGCGTGTGTGGCAGACCGATTGAACGAGAGACGTCACATAACATCTGAAGAGCTCACGAGCCCCGCTCTTTGTGGATAGAGCTGTCCCCTGCCTCCAACGGCGGCAGTTTAGGCCCACATCGTGCCTGCCCCCCTGCCCCCCTGCCCTCGCCCCTCGCTCCCTCGCTCCTTCCGCCACGCCAAAGACGACGGGAGAGGCGGATGTGTTAGCATTCGAACCGACGTAATAGCATCGCGATTTAATGTGGTGTATGCAGCACCATCCTCCACCGTCGACTTACAGACGGGAGTAGGGTGCCTTTGGTTGGAGAGCAGACAGGATTCACAATTCGTAGTCTTTGTACGACTGCACGTACGTAGCCACCGAGTTGTAACTCTAGGAGTGTTGAGTAGGTTCAAGGGGCCAATGGGCGTCCAGGTCATCAATAGAAGGGCTACCTTGAGCATCCATAGTGACTGAGTATAGGTGAATTAGCTTCAAGCTGGAGTCAGGCTGGATGGAGCAAATGGCTTTGCGTACGTCACGTCACTTCTTCAAGTTGTTGAAGCGGAGCGTTCGTTTTCTGGTGGCTCTTTCCTTGGCAAAAGTATAGGTACCTGCACTTTCCGTCCTGGTTTTGGCTTTCGCGGCAGCCGTCCTCGATCCCCACTCCTCCGCTCAGCCAAGCCGTCCTTGCCCTTTCAAGGCTAGAGCGCTGTTCGGATACGCTGAGCAGCAGCCAGTGGGGAGCGTTTTTCTTTAGAGTGGGCCTGCTACGGGTTCTGCTTTTGCCGGTTGCTGGCATGCCATTCCCACAAGAATTCGATCCCACCACTTGTGCCTGAGCAGGATGCCACACCTCTGCTGGCGCACGCACAAAGCAAGATACCGCATTCGCCCCCCTCCAAGAGAAATCAGGGCCGGGGGCCAACTCGAGGCGCCTGCCGCGCCCTGGATGTGTCCACGAGGTGCCCTGGTTTCCTGGTTGAGCCAGTCGCGGCCGAATTGGACTGAACAGAGCCAGCAAACCAACACCATAAGGGGAATCGGGCCAGCTGGACTGGAGAATAGACTAACTGACTGAAGCAGGTCCCTACCTTTCTTACCTTGCCCAGGACAGGACACCGCAGGGCATTCGCAATCGTCGTGAGATGTGAACCACTGAAGCTTAAGGGAGAGACAACCTAATTGGACTTGCAGACCCTGCATAATGCGAGCCCCATCCACTTTTCGGTTGCCTGTCCCCCTCCACACACCTAAGGTAGGCAGGCAGTGGAGGACCACCCCCGACATCAGTGGCGTTTGTTAGCCGGCACGCCAGCCCCAGCACCCGCTGCCCAGCAAGCGTCAGGTACTTCGGCATGTACCTCGCAACCCAAACCGCAAACGAGCCCCAAGCCGTGCCGTTTTGGTCTCGAGAGACCTGGAGCCGGTTCATCTCTAGTGGAGCGACGATGGGCTTGCACATACGTAGTAGGTATCCGCACACTGCCTTATGAAGGCAGAAGGCAAGGCAACTAGCACACTTACTACATTGGATACCTTAGGTACTCATACCTTTACACACATGCCATCCAATGCTGAATGCTGGCTCAGGAGCGGCATTGCGTTGGGGACCTGAGCTGGCCTAGCACAGCACGGCAATGGCGCCCGTCGAGACCCCAATCTGCGTTTCTGCGCTCCCATGCCCTGGATACTTCCCATGGATACTTATAATCAGGGCATGTCCTCCTCGACTCGCGGACGGGCCCACCCTCCGAACCTCAGGCTCCTTAGTAGCTGCGAGCCATTGCAGCCCTATCGTATCGAGCACGCGCAGGCAGTATACTTCCATACCAGGTAGTGTAGCGTACAGGTGTAAGGTAGTCAAGGTCAGAATTGCTGGCTAGGGGCCCTTGTCTTAGTGTCTTATTCCATCCAGGTACCCCCCTCCCACGGCCAGCTGGCAGCCGGTACTCCGTACTGTACATGCCTCAGTCCCATATTTTGCCTCCCAACCCCTGCCCGCTCCAAAGGCCTCTTACACCTGTCTGCCGTTGACTTCATCGCTTTTTCCCACCTTTCCTGTGGGTGCGTGGAGGAGCCTACACTACTTCCAGGTTGTTAAAGGTTGGCCGGTCCTTCGTCTGTTGGTCCTCACTCGTCCAGCCCAGTCCATCTCGCACACATACGTACTGTACGCTACGCTGGAATAACTTACTTACATACGTATGATCCGTGCTCGACTCCTAGGCGGCACGCTCTCTGCAGCAGCATCTACCGCTTGCCTTTGCTCACTGACACTCATAACGCAACCCGTACGCCACACCAAAATTTGACCGTTAATTCTCCGGATCGTCACCGGCACGTCCCTCTTCGGACCATCTCCACAGCTAGACAAGCATATACGCTACGGGACAGCACAGTATACACACAAGAACTCTCTCGAGTGTCGACACACTAGGCACAGCAGACAGATAGACAGACAGGCCGCTACTAGGCAGGTCTCTGTTCGGGATATTAGTCCTTGGCTCCTTTACCTCGTCGACCATCGTCGGATCTCTCGAGCCCTAACCGGCTGCTGATCTTGTCTTCGTTTGGTTCGACTTTGAAGAAGAGAAGAGTGCCGTTGCCCGACCTGCGAGCCTAGTTCACTCCTATCATCCACCAAACCCCCCCTCCTTCCCCCCATCCAAGACGGCATCCCACTCTGGCCCAATTGGCAGACTGCCCTGTCAGGGTCCTTTGGTGGGAGGGATATCTCGAGTGTCGATCACTCTGGCCCGACATCGTCACAGGGTAGTCTGCGCTGAGGTGGGTTCCACCTGTCCTCTGACCAAGAGGGTAATAACGTTCAGACGACCCTGCCTGGTCGGAGAGCCGATTCGCCCTAGCGTGCAGTCTAGTTATCGGTTGTACTTCCATCATCCCAGACGCAGGGCTACTTCCGCATGCCATCGTGTCATACCCTCAAGGGACACTTAAGGGCGCTGATCCGTCCTTGTCGACCCGCGGTCTGACCTTCTCTTAAGTTCGACCCGACTAAGGGATCCCGCGTCTGATCAGTAATAGCAACAACAGCCAAAAATTAGGACCACCGCCTAGCCATTTGCAACATCTTCATCGCCAGAGCCAGTCTACACGACCTCACTTCCAACTCGCACTCTATCCGGTTTCAACGATCGCACACAGGTTTCACATCACACCATGACGATGACAATAGACGTTAACCAACACCGCTTCGGACCCTTAAGCTTCGACCACATGTCTTCGTACCCGAGCCACCCGCACTTCACCAACCCGTGGGCCTCGTCCTCGTCCGCGGCCGGGCCGGGCTCCCAGAACGGCGGCCAGAGCCTCTTCGTCGGCAGCCAGGACGGCGGAAGCCTCCCCCATCTCAACCTCAACTCTCTCCAGAAGCAAGCCCAGCACAGCAGCAGATCCGGCAGCGCCTCTTCCATGTCGTCGTATGCCTCTCTCCCTTCGACAACTGCGTCGGCGGCCAGTCCACCCATGGGCGATGTCTACAGGCAACAGGACTTGCTTCCCATGTCCCAAGACCTCATAAACCTGAACCGAATGCAGCACCCCTCCACGACAGCTGCCTATGACACGTCGGCATACACAACCGCAGCCTCGCCCGTGAACGCCCCCTACGCACCGTCTTCGGCGGCTTACGGTCAGCTCGGGTACCCGCCGGCGCCGATGAGGACGTTCGCTGTCGCCACTGAAGACAGCTCGCGAAGATATTCTCAGCCGTCAGTAGCCTCTAGCTTTATGGATCTCCATGCGTCTACCGTCGGTGTGGCACGGCTGCCACGGATATCATTGTCTGACTATGATCGCAGAGGCCTGCCACAGGACGATCAAAGGAGGTTCCGAGATGCTATTGAAGCAAGCCACGGGATGCTCTCCACGAGCCAGGATACGCCGAGGAACATCTACGAGGTGCGGAATCGTGGCCGTGGATCGGGGGATTCTTACGGTTTCCCGTCGGCACACTCCACAAACTCTAGCGTGTCATCGGCCGGCTTCAGCGGGTACTATGGAGGGTCGGTGGATGGGTCCGTGAGCGACTACTCGACGACAGGGTCAGACATGGAGTCACTGCCCGGGCGGACGCTGCCTAGACCTCAAGGGTTGATGTCGGGCCAGCCACCGGCACCACAGTCGATGATGGGCTCTTTCAGCTCCAAGGTGTCGTCCAGCACGCAGAAGAAGCACAAGTGCAAGGTTTGCGACAAGCGGTTTACCCGACCAAGCTCGCTTCAGACACACATGTACAGCCACACGGGCGAAAAGCGTAAGAAACAATTCGAGTCGGTATCATAATTAGGCGCCTTTGCTGACTTTTATTGATGTAGCACACACGTGTGAGGTTGAAGGATGCGGCAGGCAATTTTCGGTCGTGTCTAACCTCCGCCGCCACAAGAAGGTCCACAAGAACCCAGGCGAGACACCTTCGGATACGGGTTCAGAAGACCACCAGACGGGCTCAGAGGATCATCAGTCGGAGTAATTCCTATTCCTCTCGCGAAGTGACCTTGGAGGGTTGCGCATGATACTGTCGTTTTTTTACCTTTCACCACGCCAATAGACTACCGCTTTTTAATCCTCGCCATTCGCTATATATTCTTCCACAATCGACTCCCGAAGGCGGGCTACAGACTCAACCAACACTCCGCGTCTACCGCCACTGCCAATACCCTCACACAAACACCACAACCCCCCCGTGTTACATTACACCAAGGCAAAACATGATGCCGTGTCCTCTGGAAAGGGCATGGGCACGGTCTGTACTTCTCACCCACGTGGGGTCTGACAAAAGAGCGGACGGGGCCGTTCTGGTCGGGCCCTTCATTCTAATGGATGACCTGAAGGGGGAATCTGTCGGCGATCCCCCGCCCTCTGTATTGCGACCACCTTCTACGCCTGCGCCCGACATTGGACGTACTGTTTTATATAAAAAGAGCACTTTGATATGGGAGTTTGGGTTGGGGCCCGACGCTTCGTCGATCAGTCCCCCTACCGCGTTGCTTCTGTGTCTGCTTATCTCGCCCTCCTGTATAGTATTGGGGATGGGTACTTTTATTAATTAGGTACTCTCGCTGGGTGGGGAGGTTTCATCTCTAGATTAGGAGAGCAGCAGAGGAGGCTTTTTTTTCCTCCAGCAGGCAACGGGCGAGAAGCAGCACCTCCTTTGGACGGGGATACCCTTCATAAAATCGGCGTTTTCTGGGTTTCACTTTTTTTTATTTCCTACCTACTTGGGGGGCACTTGGCATCTGTCTACGGGCAGAGAACGTCTTGCTCGGTGTTTGCAAGAGATTCCCATACTTCTGTACTATCGCTTGCGTGGCGCTTTCTGCGCTTCCTCACGGCGGCTTGGTATGGGACTGGGATATGGGCTTGGAGGTTCTATATCTTTTATTTCTTTTACATTTTTTTTGGCTCTCTCAGCCCGGGCGCAGCAAATACGGAGTGGCCCGGCATGATATGGTCGAGTCTTGACTAATGACGAAACGCAAAAAGTTGAAGGATGGGCGTTCTCTCGCCACTGTCCTCTTGATAATGGAAGAGAATATTGAAGAAGGGACTACTGCTTGGTGTCTTAAAACTTAATCATGTACACAAGTACCAATAATAAACTTACGACACAAACCAACTTTGATAATTGGGAAGGTGCCCCCGAACGGGTACCACACACAAAAGATAGAGTCTCACTTTCCGCGCCCAATTGGATCCATATGCTCCAGTCACAATTTTTCTTTCCTCTGTTACCGACCCAATCGCTCGCTCGAGCAAGTAACAGCAGCTGCGACTACGGACTGCGACAGTGAATTGCCTAATGAATCCTCCCCGCCACCCCTCCCAAGAAGAAAAAAAATCTTAATCCTACCACCACCGCTCAATTATCAGCAAAAATAAACGTCGACCTATAGACCCTTAACCGCCTCGTCTCAACGGCAAGCCAAGCCGGACGACACCGCATTCCCATCTCCACCCCCATTCAGCACCCTGGAATACCAGGCGCCGTTTCAACGCAACTAATTAGCTACCTTCCCAAAGCAACCGCACTACACCATTTAGTCAAGCCAGACAACAGCAACGCCCTATGATAATCTGACTAATGTCCCCCTCTCCCTGACTGCTGGTGTCTAGACATGACTCTACGTTATTACACTACCCCCCCGCGCCAATGAAGCGAGGCGACCAACTGCGAACCAAGAAAACTAGACCATCCCCTACCAAGACCATTTGGGCGCGGAAGATCGCCGCTGCCTTACGGAGCACATCCGGTCTCTAGTTTTGGTGTGCACTTCTATAGCGTGTTTCGTGTTGATCTTGGATTAACTTGCTCTTACTAGTCAGCCTAGAGAGGAAGGGGGCTACGCTATCCCGCCATATCGGATGATTTCAACCAAAAGCTTCTCCACGCACCACGCCCCGTTTTGTGTTGGGGCTGCCCTCAAGACAAACGGCGGCGGTATCAAACCCACGAGGAAGAAACTCGATAACATCCGCATTCTGCTAGCTACCAGAAGACGCTGCTAGGTCGCCCTCCCCAGTCGCTTCGCTTCCGGTGCAGCCACAAGCTAGGCGGGACGGCATCCTTTCTGTCCCCGATGGCATCATCAGATAGAGTTTAGGGTGGGCAAGGGAGGCAACAGCATTTCCAGACAAGCCGTTCGCTCACCATGCCGCGCGCCCCGCATCGGAGGCGATGAGGAGCCGGCGGCCTTGCGGGGACGTCGCTCAAAGGGGAAGGGGATCTTCGTCTTTCCTGTCGTTGCCGGCAGCAAGGCCAGTGCCCTTCCATGGCCGCTATCAGGTACAACATATCAGACACTCGTACTGCATGCCCAGACACCAGCCCCAAATGGAGAGGCGAAAAATGGAAAATGGGAAGGTCAAGGAACGACCCCCCGCACGCCACCGGTCCCATACCTATCCCAGATGATCCCTGTGGCATAGCGTAGAGACGACGACTACAGAGAAATGCCAACGCCAGCCTAGTCAAGGGCATCCACTTGAATATGCTTGTGTTTCAAGTAAGTGTCTAGGTAGAGCAGGGCTGCCCAAGCGACTTATCACTACTACGAAGGGCAGTGCTCATGACACGAGTGTATATAGGCGTTAGAAATTATGGAAAGTGTTGACCGACACCCCCAATTTAGGGCCCTCTCTACGCCCGGGGTGAAACGGTGGCCACTACGCACGTGATAAGGCCAGCGAGCGTCACATCCCGTCGACAACTTTGTCGATATATCACCAGGTACCTTACCAAGAAAACACGGATATTGCACGGATATTGGAAGGGCACAATATTCACTTGAAGATCGACCTGGTTGTATCATGAACAAGATATGAGGTGACATGTGCAATGATACGGCGGCACCCTCTTGAGGCAAGGTTGGGGCAAGAAGGGAAGAAATAGCACGCGGTGACGCACCCCAGTGTTTGGGAGCGTTTAAGGGGGGATTGGGAAGCATCTGCTTGGACAGAAGCATTCCCAAGCAAACTCGAAGGATGTCTTACCCACGGAGACCGAGCTTGTTCGTGAACTTGGTACTTCTAACAATGGCTGGTTTTCGTCAGGCATCAATTCACACCCCTAAAGCGCCCGCTAGAGGCCGGTGTGTGGCGAAACCCTGAGGGCACCGGGACAACAAGCGGCTCGGCATCGGTTTCTTCGCTTTCTCGAAGCTCTTGGCCGGCTCTATTACCATAGCGAGCGTTCGCGCCATTTGCGAGTAAGATGGGATGCGTATAAAACGTCACATACCCGCTTCCTCCAGTGGTCCTGGGCTGTGAGACCAGCGAACCCCACCCAATGACGTCGTTTAGCCAATTAGGCTCGTGGAAAGGCCGCATCCCGTTCGGCCTACAACGGGGCGTTGACGGCTTAAGACAGGCCCCCTTCAATTTGAGCTTGTGGGACGGGGTCTTTCGAGGTACCTGAACCTTTTCCGCCAGACACCCTGCATGATTGGGCTAAATACAGACAGGATGACATCGTTGGCGATTGGGGGCGTTGTCCTAGACAGGTGGGGAGACAAGATTTGTCTTGGGACGTGGGATCCAGCGTCAGCCAATGGAGATGGACTGTGGAGAAGGGACAGATCTTCAGGGTCCTTTTTGCCAAACCGGAGAGGGCGCACGGGGGAACTGCAAGCACAACCGCAGGGATCCCGCTGCGCTACACGAACGCAGCTCGGTGGGCATGTCGAACTAATGGGCAGAGCCTTCAGCACCGGGTGACTAGGTGACTAGAATATCCACTCTTTATTTTTATCCATTTCTGTTCTTCAGCGGCCCATTGGAACTGGAAGAGCGTGCACAGTCTGATCATTGGGCCTCCGACAGTGGAACCAGCCGCTTTACAATATTTCTCGTTCTCCTCGGCGTCTTACGGAAAGGAGCTAGCTTTAGCCCATCTCGACTATCTATCCCGGACTCTAGGACAAGCCAGCGGCCAGTCTGATAAGTTCTGGGAGCAGGCTTAGGGCAGCGCATTCCAGTCCCTCAAGGCCCAACACGATCAAAAAAGCAGAGACGAGAGTCTTATCAGTGAATATAAAGATAACAATGAGGTGGGCCGCCTTTGAGATTTCCCAATCAGTCAAGGGCCACCTCCGCCAAGCAAATGCGCTGATTCCACGTTCCTACTTGTCGAATGGCTATGATGGGCTGAAGTCGGTGTTGTCGGGGTTGTGCCAAGCGCGATGATGTCATGTGGCGTTTGTTGGCCTTCCCGTTTCCGAGAATCCCTGTCGCCAATCTTCGATATACCCATAGGTCAATATGGCGAAAGGCCATCTAAGCGGACGCCCTAGATTGGCTTCCCATTGCCTAGGGAGCTGTCGAAGTTCAGTTTCGGTGCGATTTCTATCTGATGTTCCTCTTCTGTACGAGCCGGCCGCTCGGAAATGGGGCTGAACTATGGAGCTTGCTCGTAGAACTTCGACGGTGAGCCAAATTGGCAGCAGTATTTCATTAGGTTGACGGAGTCATGTTTTAGGAACTCCCCGCCAAGGCGAGGGAGGGGCTGTGCCCCGCTTGATACCCCTCAATTCCGAGCCCTCACCCAAAGCCCTGCCAACTCCCGGCTCTTCGTGAACAAGTACAGATACAACCCCACTTTTACTTCACGTGCAGCTTTTCCTTCAGGTTCCTTCCTGCACCGGCAGGAAGGGATCCTGCTAGATTCCAGCTGGATAGGAAGCTGACAGCGCATGGCAGGGCAGGCAATTCCACTTCTATTTCCAATTTACGAGATGCGAAATAAATGCACGCACGGAATACTGACAAAACAGCCTCATTCGCATTGCATTCTGGGGCAACCCAGGGAGGGCCTTGGCGTCTACGGCTAACGGGATGATAATGACGGCGCAATGCGCCCTCATCCCAAGGCGGAACCGAAGGCGGGATCTGAAACACGCCATGATCTCATATCAGCCGGGGGAAGGGCGATTTTATATTGTGTCGACGCCTCCGGGTCATTTCTCTCGTCAGCCCTGGACTACAGCCCCGGAAAGTCTTGGTTGCCAATCTTGCCAATCTGCGGGGTGGGGGCGCCATGCTTGTCTCTGGTCTGCAAACTTACGAGATTTCATCAAAGAACACCCCTTTTCAGGGTCCTGGAGGCGAAATCGAATTTCCAAAAATGCCATTATTGGGGGGCTTGGATTGCCATGATATTGAACACCCGGTAAGAAGGAACCGCTGACTGACAGCGGTGCCTGGCAAAACCCGGGTGCCTCTCCCTTTTCTACTAAACTGCCGATATGGAACAATCGGATTTGATTGCACTCCCTTGCTCCCCTGTCTCTCCAATTGCTCGCCGGAATTGCTCGCTGGTGTTATTTTTATTATTTTTTTTTATCTTCTTTTTTTTTCAGTTTTCCCTCTTCGTTCAAAAAAAAAACCAAGCGCCAATTGCACCTTGCCGTTCCCACACACCATACTACATCACACACCACCCCATTCAGACGTGGTTTTTAAATTCCTTGCCCTCTTCTTTTTCTCTGCTGCACTTCCTATTTGACCCGGCCCCGCTGTTGTTACCCTCGTTTCGTGCTCTCGCTCACACACACGCACACACACGCACACACAACCATGCGCGTAACGATAAACCGCCCGCTCACCGCCTCTTTTTCCCGGCAGGTTTTCTTTTTTTCTCTGTTGTAGCAATTGGGGGCTACCTACCTGCCTGCCTGCCTACCTGCCTGCCTGCCTGCCTGCCTGCCTGCCTGCTTGACGTACGTGTTGCATGCCCACCAAGGGAGCTAGTTTCTACCATTCTGAGAGGTATGTACATACAGAACGGGACGCGGACACGGTCGATGTGATGTGTGCCTCCCTGGTGCGCGCAACCGAAACGTGGCCCGCTTACATACATGCTGTCTGTGATGACATGCTGTGTGTGTTGTTATGGGCTCTACTGTACCACGTTGCTGCTGCTGCTGCTGCTGACCGCTGGATTAGGTACGACGTCACCACCCTCCGTGCCCACCTACCTACCTACCTACCCAATCCGCCTCCCCGCCCTTCGGCCCCGGCTTGCTTTTGTAACACGTAGTGCTATGCGACGTGGGGTTTGAAGCTCTGTATCGTTGTGTGTGTGTGTGTGTGTGAGGCAGGATGTGACAAGGTCAGTCAGTCTTCTGTAAGTAGCCAACGGTTCATAGGTAAGGCAATGTCTTGTCTGTCTACGTAGCAGTTATGAAGGAGGATATGCTTTTGCTAGGAGATAACAACCACGCCTTGCGTGTCCGCCTCCTCCTCGTTGCAACACGCACATACTGCACACGCTCCGGGGCCACGGTCGGTGGGAAGGTTTGTTTAGGTTTGTGTAGGTAGTCATCCATCCATCAGCACGACAGTGCAACTGCCGCTGACCCCATGTTGTTGCTTGTTGTTGCTATGCATTTATGTATACACTTGAAGGTTGAACCAGTGAGTGTGTGGGTTTTTCGGTCGGCAGCTGCAATGCTGTAGGTACTTGACTACCTTTTTTTTAGCCTTTTCTTTTCTTCCCTATCTGCCTTTCTACTTTTCTCCTTTTATGTTAGCCCCCCTCTCTCTTCTCTCTACTACGTTCTCGTGTGTTGCTGTTGTTTGCGTGAGCAACAACAAGGTATGGAGCTCCTCACTTGCGGACCCGGACTGCCTATCTTAGCCTACGGTAGGCAGACCTGCTAGACTGCTTTCTTGGTTCTGTTTTCTTGGTTGTGATTGTGTGGTTGTGTGTGTGGAGGAAGACCGTGGCAGGCAGGTTGGTGCATACATGCCTCACACACCATTACACTGCGTGTGTCTGTGTGTCTGTGCTAGATGCCGTGGGCAAGCGAAGACTGTTGCTCTTTTTTCTTCTTCCTTTTTTCGTTCCTTTTTGGATCGGAAGAGGCTTGCCCTTGTCCACTCGACTCGGGTCTGGTCTGCTTTACTTTACTTACCTTACTTAAACTGTTATCTTGCCCAATAATACGCCAGGGAAATATAGGAAAGGAAAGCCAAGATGGCCATGGAACTATGTAAAGACTTACAGTGCTGCAATGTGTTGTTTATTTGTCTTAGGATGTTGAGCGTGGGTTGTTTGCTAGCCAGCCTCATAACAAACGGTCCACTGGCTGAGAAGGACGCATGCTAGTTATTCAAGTTGGAGTCTGGAGCTTGGAGGTAGGGTAACGGGGCACTGTGCGACGTTCCTCTCCCCGTGTGTGGATGAGTGGATAGATATGCGTTCGTACCATGTGCACAGGGGCACGGCGCAGAGAGCACAACGTGGACTAGGGCCAAATAGGCACCGACAGGAAATAGAAAATGAAATACCCCGAGGTTCAAGAGAGAGACATCTATGAGAGCGGTTACTCGGAAAACACAAGTGAGAGGGGCGGATAAGGAGAGAGATCAAGTGCCATGGTTATGGCGTATCTAATCACGGCTTATAGAGTATCCATCGTTTGAGGGGGGGGGGGGGAGAATACTATAGAGTCATGTTGCTTGTATCTGCTCGGCGCAATTATGGCAAGTCACAGACAGAGAAGTTGGCAATAAACAGCTGTCAAGACATATTCTGCGATTCATGTTGATAACAACTGGTAAACCGTACTGTTGACTTGAATAGAACGTCGTTCGGGACTCTAATGGAAACACCCTTATAAATTCATCTGTGAATGGTTTTACAAGTGCGGAATGTCCGAAAAATTAACTGCTGCTACACAGTGAAGGGCTGACAAGTGACAGGACTATCTATCTATGCATGTACCTTAGCCACCAGCCCCTCTGTCTCAGCAACACGACGGACGAGGCATTTATATCTTAGTCATGGTATAGATCTGAACATACCTAGGCAGCCACCTTGGCCAACTGGGTACCTAGTTACCCACACCGAGCTACGCCGAGCGCCCAGAGACACACTTTGAGTCAGTCAGCGTTGCCCCAGCTTTGTGTGCGCGAGAGCCACAAGAAACGTGGGTACGGGAATACAACAACCGGCGTAGCACAAGGCGACGAGGGAAGCTCCCGCGGTCGCACCCCTATACCTCCTACCACGCGCTCAGCAGCTAGAACAAAGCGGCCGGCCGCGACAAAAGCATGTGGCACGTTGTGGGATAGGGGTTTTGCACATCTGTGTACCTATCTACATCCATCCCCACAGCAGGCAGGCCGGTACGTAATCCAACCTAGCAAAGACACGGGCTGAGGGTAATACGAGGAGCGGGACGGGGAGGGTGTGGCCCGGCGTCGCCGGAGTGACGCGAGTGTTCAACAAACCCCTCAGGGGGGGGACAAGAAACATATGCATGTATGTTATATATCCCGACGCGGTCCAACATTGCACAGAGTTTGTTGAGACAGAGAAGGGAGGAGGACTGGCCAAGTCAGAGACAGACAGACGCTCATTCGCCGACAGCAATGAAAAAGGAGGGAGGGGCAAGGAGAGTGAGTTGAGTTCCCGCATCGTACCGAGGCCGACTTTCGGAGCAGAAAGAAAAGAATACACACACTCGCTTCCTACGTATCGTTGACGCTAGCTGAGGAGGGGAGTGGTGTGCCCTTACCTACCTTGCCTACGCAGCCAAGACCAAGACACGCCAATGCAAAGAAAGTTGTCGGGAAAAAAGGGTGGAGGAGGGCTGGCATTGATTGCCATTGGGTTCCGCGCTGCACAGCGCATAACTGTGGTCTAGTCCTCTACCTGCCAGCACCTATGTACTTACCGTACCTACTCTCTACCTAAAAAGGTAGTTTGTGTGCTTGCGGAACGGCCTGGCGGTGTAAGTCAGGGGGTATATCTCCTTTTTTGCAAAACTTATCGTAATAGTAACCCGGATTCCTGTAGAACCCCCCCTGTTAACCTGTAAACAAGACTCTCTGTGTTAAATGTTATACTCCTCCCAAAGAAACTTCCAAAGAAGGATCCAGAGAACAAACCCCAAGAATGACTTATAACCTTCCGTCTTTCTTGGAAAGATATCTCGGAAAGAAACCCTATCTCCTGTCTCCTTATGCTAGCCAGTGCCTATTTACACCCTCATGCTCTTTTCGTAGCGGTACAAGTCCCTCTTAGAACGCCCTTCACGAACCGCAACACAGGGATCAAAACAAGGACACATGGATCAAACAAGCAGCCAGCCAGCCAGCCAGCCAGCCAGACACATCGTAAGAGAACGGGGCAACAACTCTATCCCATCCATACTCCGAGTATACTTCGTCTCCTATCCTATAAGCACCAAACACTAAAGAAAAACCCCCTTTCCCGAGATCTTTGTTAAAGCAACTTACTAACCCAGCAGACCAGACCAGACCAGACCAGACACCGCATCACAGGCTCCTCGCTTTTTGACAGAACCAAAATACACACCTACACCGTACTATCCAGACCACATATAAACAATAGACCATCATACGATCCATCCATTTACCCAAAGGACGAACCAGAAAAGATTCACCAGAAGACACCGCCACCTGTCCCCTGCTTCCCATCCCATAACGCCTCACCTCCATCCACCCCGCCTTCGCCCTCCTTCAGCACACGCACGAGCCCGCCGCGCCTGCGCTCCGCCAGCCAGCGATCAGTCCAGGCCTTCATGCGGCGGCGGCTCTGCTCGCTGCCGACGTTGACGGTGGGGACGACCTTGTCGATTCGCAGGGCCATGAGGAACAGGGCGAGCTCGCGGAAGCTGCTGTGCTCGCTGTAGGGGACGCCAAAGCACATGGCGTCCCCGGAGCTGCCGCGCTGGGGCACTAGGCTGGACGCGGCGAAGCGCGGGCGCCAGCCGGTGCCGTGCAGGAGGCTCGTCGATGGGACGCTGCTGGGCGGCATGTTGGCGCCGACGACGATGCCCGAGGCAATACCGCCGCCGCCACCGCCGCTGCCGCCGCCGTTGTTGGGCCGGAAGTTCCAGCCCGAGGGCCGGAACCCCACGACGCGGCTGAAGCCGTGCGCGCGGTGCAGCTCGAGGTACTCAGCGAGCGTCTCGGGGCGGATCTCCATCAGCATCTGCATGTGCACCTGGGCCTCACGCGGGTTGGAAGTCATGAGGTCGGCCAGCTGCGCGTCGTCGAGCTGCTGGCACATGCGGATCTTGGCCGCGCTCGCGTATATCTTGGTCTTGAGCGCCAGCGCGATGGCCTTGCAGATGCGCTCCTTGCCGATGCTGTATGTGCCGCAGACCACCAGCAGCCGGTTCTTGCGCCCGCCGCCCTGCTTCAGCCCCGTGAAGGCATTGTCAGGGGCCGACTTTAGATCGCTGCTGGGAGTGTTGTCCTTGCCCGCGGCTAGAGGCGGCGGCTTAGTTTTCTCCGACGGGAAGAACTTGCTGACATTTTCTGTTGTGCCGCCGCCGCCTTCTCGTCGCCGGAGCAGCGAGTTCCAGGCGCGGTCGTCCTCGGCAGTGAGCCCCTTGTCTAGCGACAGGCAGACTTCGGCACACGAGCGAACCACGTCCTCCTGCGGCGGGAACGAGTAGCGCGGGTTTAGATAGGTAGTGTCGAGGTAGCAGACGTCAATCTTCTGCTGTTTTGTCTTGCCCGCGATTGCGCTGGCCGTCGTTTCTGGCCGTAACTGCGGGTGCTCAACGTGGGCAGGACATGCGCGAAAGTCGCCGCAGTGCAGGATGCGCTGCGTCCTTGTCCCCCCAACACTCTTCTCGAACAGGAATAGCGAGCTTCCCGGGCAGTGGTTGGCAGGAATCATTGTCACCGTTACTCCCTGCGTCCCCGGCACGGGGGCTGTCTCGTCAAACGCGAGCTCCACCACGTACTTTGCCGCCGTCTTGAGCTGCATCTTGACCAGCGCCCCCGTCACCTTGCTGCAGTAGATGGGCCCATGCGTCCAGTGGGCCGTCAGCCCCATGTAGTGGTCGCTGTGGAAATGGCTCAGAAAGTAGGCCTTGCAGCCCTCGACGGCGCCGTAGCGGAAGGCGTCGACGCAGATGGAGAAGCCCGGCATGATCTTGTAAAAGGGGCAAGTCCGTTTGTACGCAGGCTTTCCCCGAGACGCCTGCTCTGCCGCTGCGGCCGTCGCCCATGCCGAGTCTTCGGCGTGGCTCGTCATGAGCTTGGCAAAGGCCGACTTGGAAGGGCCGCCATCCACACTTGCGGCGGTTCCGCCGAGATTGATGGGATTCGCCTGCCCAGGCCGGGCAACAGCTGCTTTCGCAAACCGCTTGCCCAGATCTGGCGCCTCGACACTTACGCCACCGCTCTCGCGTTTTTCTTGCTCGGTCTTTGGAAGCGACGCTGCCGTTGGGAGGGGCGTGGGATTGCCGTCGAGACATGCATTCACATGGGCGGTCGCCTGGTCTTCGGTGACCCCCGAAAGACTGCCGTTGCAGATGGGGCAGCTCTCGACCATGGCGTCGGGGCCCAAATTGTCGTCGTCGCCATCAAAGCTGTGGTTTCCTTCTTCTGCCGCGAGCCGGGCCTGTTCCTGCATGTACCGCATCTCCTTGAACTCTTCGCCGCCGGCAAACAAATCGTCATCTTCGTCTCCCTCCCCAAACTGATCTGCGAACTGGCCGTCGCCTTCGTAGTCGGCTTGCATGTCGGGATCGAAATCATCATCGCGGTCCTCGCTGTCTCGAACATTGTTTCCCGACGTCTCCTGCCGCAACAACGGCACATCACTCCTGCTGAAAGCCGGCCGCTTGCTGGTGAGTTTGGAACGTTCAGGGGTACAAGGCATGGTAGTATTTGGCAGCGGTCTCACCGTCGTCGTCGTCGCCGCCGTTTTCAGGGCCGTCTGCGAAATGTCACTTGTGCCGCTCTTAGGGGTGCTGATATCATCATTTCGATCACCACCGTCATCGTCATCGTCGGAAGAGTCGTCCAAAAACGGATTGTTCTTTTTCTTCGTCGTCTTCGCACTCTTCTTGGGCCGCGGGTTCTGAGGCGGGAGAGACTCCGGGCTCTTATGCTCCTCATTTTGCCTCTCCGGGAGACTTTGCTTGCTGGGAGACTCATCTCCTTCTTCGTCCTGTGGCTGTGGGCTCAGTTTCCGCTTCTTGACCGAGGACGTCACCTCGTTGAATCGCAGCTGGATGCCCGAGCCATCGGCGTCGCTGGCCCCGTAAATATCGTTGTCATCCTCCTTCTCCGGCTCGGGCGCCGGACTATCCGCCACAACCCCCTCGGCGATAAAAAGCGACTCATCGGCGGCTTTCTTGAAGTAGTTGAGGATGCTGCCGTTTGGTTTGGGTTTCGTCTTTGCCGATAGCGGGGTTTTGGATACGAAGCCGCTGCTGCTGCTGCTCTTTGTGCTTTTTTGGGGCGTTCTGCTGCTGCTGCTGCTCGTCAATTTAGTGGGAGCCATCTTGGGTGTCGGTAACAGCCCCGTATTCGGTCTATGTAGGTGGTCGTGCCGCAGAGGAGGTCAAAATCGGGCAGGATTTCGAGATTGGAGATCACGAGAAAATGGTGGCAAGCACGGAAAACGCGAGTCCTGACTTGCAAAGGTGGGGGGTGTCCCAGCGCCTCGCGTCATCACGTGGCCACCTTGTTCAGGACAAACCAACGGCAGCTGCTGCCCGCTCTCTTATTGGCATCTTTATACGTTTACGCTAACCGTAGAGAAGACGACACATTCTGCCGTAAACTTTGTCGGCGAATGCCAAATATTGGACTAGAAATATTTGCTTCTGCTCATGAACTATGCTACCAATTTTCGCTGTGATTATGCCGCCCCAGGCCTACTAACTCTTGCTACCTGTTTCTGTTGGCCCATGGCATCCATACAGCCAAAGAGCCGAAATGAAGCACTTTTACCCCCTTGGCCGAGAAGGAAATCTAACCAGAGCCCCAAGAAGCCTCAATATCTCACCCTTATTCCTCAGCAGCTTCTGGTTCCTCCTCAATTTCCAAAACCTCCTCCTCGGCATCGTCGTCGAAGCTGCTCGATGGGACCTCGTACAAGCGCAGGATGCTCTTGTTGGGGTCCTTGACCAGTACGTACTTACCCTCTTCGCGCTTCAAGCACATGTCGGCAATGGTACGGACAATACCCCACCCGTTGGAGAGCGACAGGTTCATCTGGTTGGCGAAGTCCTTGGGCTTCCACCCAACCACGCCAAGGACGACGTGCTTGTCGTTGGTCTTGGGATTGGCGCGAGATACGAATCTGGGAGGGTCGAGTTAGTCATCTAGGCACCACAAGGCAAGGCAATGCGTGCGGGGAGAATTGAGAAAAAAAGGGGAAGGACGCACCCAAGCTTCATAACGTCGGCCTTGGCGAGAATGCTTTGCACCGTCCATCTGGCCAGCTTGCAGCTGTTGTTCTTCATCTCAGTGGCAACCACAGCACCGCGCTGCGACACCAGCTTCGTCCGCCAGTCGAGAGCGCCACCGCTGCCCTGGGCCTTGCTGTCGAACTCGTTGAGTGCGTGGATGGCCACAAACTGGTCCTCGCCGCTGATGGCGTTCTTCTGCACCGCGTCGAGCTCCGTCCGCACAATCAGGTACATGGGATCCTCGTCGCTCGTCGAAAGATCGAAGCGGCGATACTTGTACGCCTTAGATGCAGGCGGCGCCGTCTCCTCTGAGGCATTGTAGAAGTGATTCTCGTGCGCCATCTCTACCTTCTGCGTCTCGCTCTCCAGCACGGCCTGGGTGGGGAAGTTGTGGTTGATGTACGTTGCCTCCTCGGCAAGCGCTGGCGGCTGGTTGATCAAGTCCTTAGAGCCCTCCGAAGCCTCTAGCGGCGCGTCGGCCGCGTTCTCGTTGACTGTAACCATGTCAAGCGCCGCATTGTCGCGCTTGTCGATGAATACCTTGTTACCGTGCTTGATGATGACGATATCCCACGGGTAGACGGATCGGGTAGAGCACATGAGCATGGAGAGAATGCTGTCTGTGGCAAAGATGGTGGCCTCGTCCTTGTCGGCGAGCTCCTGGATGACGGGATCGGCCGAAGTGGTGACATTGTACGCGGCACGGTCCAGCGCCAGCAGCTTGCGCTCCGCAGACTTGACCATCGGCTTGTCGTAGCTGCGGTCGTAGTAGTAGAGGAAGCCGTAGCTCTCGACATCCTCGCCCTCGTCGGCGTCCAGGTTCAGCTTGGCGAGACGGTTAAAGTCAATCTCTTCAAGCAGCTTCCAGTCAGCCTTGATATTGATCGAGGCGTCCCGGTTGCGGGCGGGCTTGTCATAGTCCTTCCAGCCGAAGCGACGCCCGCGAGCACCCGCATTGCCTCTGCCACCAGGGCCACCACGCTGGTCGTAGCCGCCGCCGCCACCGCCACCGGGGCCGCCGCCAAACTGTGGGCCGCCGCGACCGGAGCGCTGGAACTGTTGGCGCCCACCCCGTGTGTCTCCACGCCCGCCCCGCTGGCCGCGCCCGCCACGGCTGAAGATGGCGCCTTTAGCGAATCGTGTCTTAGCCGAGTCGCGCACGTTGGAGACGACCGAGAACGAGGATTCGTCCTCGGCTACAGGCGCGACGAAGAGAGAGGCAGAGCCAGCACCGTAAACCTGCTGATCTGTGAAACAAAGAAAGGGCCAGAAGTTAGCACGTGCGGAGAGAGCAGTTAGCAGGCCTCCTCAGAGGCGATAAAGCGAGCTGTCCACATACCACGGTAATTCCTATTATACTGCTGTCTGCCGCCGCGGCCGTCTCTACCGTCCTTGGAGTCAGCCGTCCAGTCGGCCATGCGACCGAGCTTGTCGCCCTTGGAGTAGGGGGCATAAGGAACGCCATTGAGAGTGGTTTCGGTGGTGACCGGAGGGCCCCAGGTCGCGCCGAGATCCGGGAGCGACTTGATGAGGTCCACGAGGGAAGGCGAGTCTGAGCTCGCCATGTTTGCTTTTTAAAAAGACTCTTTACCTTTGAAAAAGGTGAAAGAAGACCCTAAAGAAAAATGTAGGTGTCTGTGACGAATTATCTCCCTCGCAAGTTACTGGTGATATGGCGCCTAGTGATCCAGGAGAGTTGAGGGGTTCGAGATCTAGAACTAGATTGGCGAAACGAGATTTCCTCAAAGTTCGAAATTCGCTTGGTGGGGTGTTTGTGTGCAAAATGTGGGGCAAAGCACGGTGAAGGGGTGCAGGGATGGGCCTCACCTAGAAGCAGCGGGGGTTTTCATCTTTGAGCACCGTACTGATTCTGTTAGCAATCACACTGTGCTGTCTTTCTAGAACAAGAGCGGGCAGTTTATAAGCCCTGGTTTTATGGAATTGGTAGAATTTATATGGTACAGAACTTCGGCATTATTTGAGCTTCGACTGTCTCTTTTGTATGCCATGGTATACTTATCGCCAAACAGGAAAAGCAAGTACTTATTTTATTTAAACCCGGATTGTCTCTAGACGTATTAATTGGCAAAGAAAGAAAACCGACTTATTTCTACCTGTCACCGATGTCGGTGACAATCTCCGTAGCGGCTCTCTTTAACGCAGCTCTTTAGTCTAAGCCTTCTTGGTGATCAAGTAATATATCATTTATCAACAACACCGCAAAGAGGTATATCTATCCCTAGCTCCGCAACAAAACATACCGCTACTCCTACCCCGCGCTATATCATCACTTCATATTCACACTAGTGTTGGTTTCCAACTGCTATCCCCTCCAAGGAAGAGAGGACCAGCCTAGCAACTTTTGCGAGGCCAAAATATCAAAGAACAGAACAAAGACCACACATAATAAAATCGTAATCAATATCCAAGACCAAATTCCGGCTTGGTCGACAAAACGTTCTCAATAGCATCGCGTACCTCAAACTCCTCCATCACGGCACCGAAACTGTACCAATATCAGCATGCAACCCCTAAAAGCAAGGCAAAATAAAAATAAAAATAGGAGGCACATACCCGTAGCATCGGACCTTGCCCCGGAGTTCCTCTGACATCCTCGCAAAGTCATCCACCTTCAGCTCGCCCAGCCTCGGGTGGGCGAGGACCATGCCCCAGGCCATGACAGGAGTGATCTCGCCGTCTAGGTTGAGGCGCTTGCTCAGGTCGAGCAGAGTAGCGAGGTCGCCTTTGCTTAGCTCCCAGGTTCGCTGGCCTGTTTCAACGGTGTTGACCCCTCCGCTGGTGCCGGGAGCGGCATCGGCACGCACGTTGCTGTAACCAAAGGGAATATCGGGTGTTAACTCGGGGAATGGCTCGGGCGGACACGAGGCCATGAGAGCGTGCCCGCATGGCTCGTTGCCCCCGACTTGGCTACCTCGCTCCAGCAGCCACGGCATGTGGTCCATGCAGGGTTTCTCGAGACTAAAATTGAACGGGCGCGCCGCAGAAGGCGGCGCTCTTTGTTAGCACACTGACTTGCCTCAGCTTCCCATCACGCACACCTAACTCTTGGAGATGTTGTCTCTCCAGGAATATAGGGTCATGCGCAAACATTCGCTCTCGCATCGCACCGGGAAGAAGGATAGAGGTTGGTGTGTTTGGAGTTTGCGGGAAGTTCTTAGTCCCGCCGTTCTTCTCGTGCCATGAAGGGAAGTGGGAAGACCAAAGGTCAAGGGTAGGACAGAACTCCAAGGAATACAAGACGGAGGCTCAGGGGAAACGCAATTCCATCCAAAGCTAATGTGGGGGAGGTGACATGTATGCCTTCGAGGGGTTTTCGTACGTTAACACGAAATCAATGCCAGCTTGGTCATAATCCATGTTGGGATTTTGGCCCAGCTGGGCTCCAGTGCCCGCTCCCGCATATCCTTGCCCAGAATGGTGGTGGTGGTGACCGAGGGAATGACTTCCGGCCTGCGGCGACAAGCCACCTCCGCCGCTGCCGCCCATATGCCCGGCATTTGTCGTGGCAGATAGGGGCGGCGGCGAGAAGGCGCTCGTGTGACTGGACCCTGGCGCGTAGCTTCCCGACATGCTCGCGCTCGACGTATATCCAACACTCAGAGTACTCATCGAGTCGTCAAGCATGCCGCCGCCACCGCCGGTCCCGGTCGCCACGCCCATGCCATTCTGGGTCAGGATAGTTTTGAGTTGCCGGTTCTCCTCTGCGAGCCGGTTCTTGTCCTGAGAGACATTGCTGTATATTTCTTTCAGGCGAAGCACCTCGTCCTCTAAAGCCTTGATGTATAGCTCTTTTCGCTCACGATGAGTTCTGAGAAGCGCGAACGTCAGCACCACACATTGACGTCCATGCACGTGCACATAGGTCATACCGTTGAGCTTGGCGATTTAATTCTTGTCGTCGCGTCAAGGCCGGTTTGCTGTCTGGCTTGGGCCCACGGCGTTTTGGCGGCTGTCCATCGACTAATTATTCCAGTCAGTCCGTGCCGCGAGGAAGGTTGCCACTCCACTGGCTGATCGCACACCCCGCAACGTACCTCTTGTGGTCCTCTTGTCAGTCAGCGACTTGAGGATACCAAGATTCAATGTGGACAAGGGGCTCTTGTCGGCCCCGCCGCCAAAACTGGAGTGGGACTGGTTTGGTGACAGCGAGGACGCCATTACGGCGGCTTGATCGTAGAGCGACGAGAAGGCCGTCTTTAGGTGAGGAGGAGAGAAATAGTTATTCGGCGGGGAGGGGTAAGCAGCTATTGGTCCCGAGTCAGCATCAGCAGCCATCACACACTAATTGCTCCGCCACAATCCGCTTGGCATGTATATCAAATAACCGTTTCAACCAAGCCACAACAACCAACAAAGACAAAAATGGCAAGCACAGTAGCAATGAATGCTAAAACCTCTTGGGGGGAAAAGACGACCAAAGGCCAAAAAGACGGCGATCCATCATGTGAGTGCAAGACGAGCCAGAGGGTGGGGAGGGGACATGACCTTTTCAAGGGGACAGGCAAGGCAATTAAGGTAGCCAGGTATCTTAACGCGGGTGGTGGGCAGAGGTGCGGGAGCACGGTAAGGAAGAGGCATGGAAAAGACGGAAAGCCGAGCTCAATGCTTCAAGAGTCGAAACAAAAGACCAGATTACAGAGACGAACGTACCTGGAGACTTTGATTTCTGGCTATCGATCACCTCAATGCGATGTTGGCCCGGAACTTGATGCTCGCACTGACAACACTGGACTACAACACTCTACGGAGGGGTGCTTGCAGCAAAGTCCCTATAGTGGCGGTGTCATGCGGTGCAGTGTAATGGATAGGTAGCTTGGCATCGGGCGGGGTGGAACAGCATAAAGTGGAGGCGTCGATTACGGAAAATGCTGAAACGATCGCGAACAGAGCGATGTCTGGGATGGAATGGACGTGTAACCGTCTCTAAAAAGGCAAATCAGGTGCCTGGCCTGGCCTGGCCTGGCAGTTGCGTGCGCGCTGAAGTGGCCCGAAGTATTGGGACGGCGTTTTGGAGACGTTTGATGGAGCCGAGAGCTAAGAACCTCGGGGGTCCAGAGCTCCAGGGAAAGGCGGGACGGGAACAGCTGACGCGAGCGATGCTCAGGGAATGGAACTCGAGATGATGATGGACTGGGACGACACTCCCGCGTTGAGGAAGGGTCCCCTGGCTGGAGAATCGCCCACAGGGCTGCAAGCTAGTGACCTTGCAGCAGTTACGGCAGTTGCGAAGGGTTCGCCGTCCAGTATCTTCCGAGAAGGGATGAAAAGAACGGAGGCGAATTAGACGGTGGACATGCCTTGTAGATCGGCTGTCACCGCATGAACTCTGGCCCAAAATCACAACAGGCGTAGGTGTGGTGTTTCCCAGGATGGACGTCAATCTTGATTTTGGGGGATTCAGCAAGGTTGGGGGGTCCTGGCTGTTTGTCCAAGGGAGATCGACGGATGAAGAATTCGAAGTCAACTAGGAGGTGGGTTGTGGAAGCCAAAGTCGGGGTCGGGGCTTTGTGGCGGGCGTTCGTGGCATCTGGCTCCGTAGCTCGTGACGCAGAGTCCAAGGCGAGGAGATTACCACCTCAGGTACACTAATGATGGGCTGACAAAGGCCCTTGAACTGTGGCTCGTCGAGGAAAGAGCAAATCGCCTGCAGGCTGGAGGTTTGCAGATGAACTGAGGCGGTTTTGACAAGGCCAAAGAGCGTTGCGAGCGGAGAAGGGGGATGCCCGGGGATTATATGAACAAAATATTCCAGTCGGGTCGCTGAGTTGCTGAGTTGCACAGTTGCAGAGAGGGTATCGATAGGTCTTCCAGGTTCTCGGCCGTCATCCAAATTCCAGTTTACTAATCTACCAGGTACAATAGGCAGGCATGGCAAGGTACACAGTAAGGTCGGGTACCCTGTTCGATACGGAAGAGGCCCTTTCCATTGAAGAAGTTGGAGATAGCCGCTAGAGTGGTCAGCACAGCAGCCCTAGATCCTGCGGCGTAGTCAGCGCATCTCCAATTATCTGGGGCGCAGGAGCTAGCCCGACAGCGCAAACAACAACTTTCGTCAGCGCGATCCCTGCGCCAGTCCCGCTCCAGGGGTTTGAGCCTTGTTGGAGGGTCACATTCAATGATTTGACTTTACAAAAACACAAATATCTACGATTTTAGATTTGCCCTTGCCACGAGCCTGCGCAGACGAGACGGGCCCAGATCTCGTGTCACCAGCTCGTCTTGCCGCCGCTGCAGATTCAGACGCATATCTCAAGTGATGTGCAGGTCGGTAAGGTACGTACCATACCAAGCCTGGCTACCAGCCAATCGTGACGCTTCGAAGACAACCTTAAGGTACGGTAGGTGGAACTAGTCGAAATAGCTTTATTTCTGGATTGGGCTTCCGAGCTAAAACGCGTTCTTGCACCTGGGCACATGGGCACCTTCCATTCAAGGGTCGCGAGTTGACTCTTGGGCGCTCTATCCACCTTAAAGGGCGGGCTTGGCACTGACCTCTTACCGATTTTTAGGCCCTTCCCATCGTCGTCGCTCCACACTTCACACCGCCGCATAACCTTCTCGCCATAGCACCCAGAAACAGACTGATGGGCCTTGTGCTGAGCTGAGAATTGGCCGATTGAGACACTTAGCGCTCTAACTCCCGAAGTTTACTCTGCCTCCAGCAATTAAGCGGCCAATATGGAGATTTGGGCCTAGAAGAGCCAGAAGCAACCCGTCTAGCAAGAGTTTGAGGTTACCTCAAGGTTTGTGCAACGTGAGATCTTCGAACTTCCGCTAGACTGAGAGTGAGATCTGGCCGACAGGCATCAACGATTCAACACCCGATTGGGGGACCATCAGCCACTCGGGTCTTACCTTCCCTCTGCTCGAGGTTGCATGTAGAGCGATGTCGGGACTAACAAGCAACAAGCGAGAAACGGAAGCAGCAAGACAAAACTTCCAGGTTCCTTCCTTCACTGCGAGTCCCCAAACATGAGCCACTGCCCTCCTTCCTCGTCATCAGCATAGAACGCTTCAAGTCCGTTCAAGAATATTTGATTATGATGAGTCTTGCCCGGACCTCCCGTGCCTGAAAGCATCTTACTTGGCTAGAGCCTGTTCGCCGGCGTCGGCACCATGTTTGCGTGGCAGTCTTCAGGTTTCTTCATTGGCATTGCCGAGTAAGGCTCAAGCAATGCCGTGCCTGGGCACCTGTTGAGGTGCTTGCAGAACCGCTCACAGCCAAGCGACACCCTCGTCTTCGCTGTCGAGGGCTGAATGGAAATCATATTTCCATACTATAGGCCCGGCTCGCCTTAACATGATTTGGATTACTTCAATTGCACACCTAAACCCTCCCAAGCCAAGCAGTTTGAAGTTTGCTCGAGTCATTTGAGTTGAGATGCTCGGGACCGAGATTCTCTTGCATTGACGGGCCGCAACATGAAACGTGGAACGCGGGGGCGCCAGTACAGTACCGCTTTTGAGAAGGGACTGGATGCTGGCTAGGAGAAAAGTCTGAAGCGCTTCGAATGTCTAGGCTGGTTCTTCATATGTGGCTTCCTCTACTGGAATCGGCACCATCTTTGCTCTTGCCCGCCTTGAGCCAAGGAGTGTAGACGCAACCAGATCCGGAGACAGGTCCGGGAACCAATCGCAGAATTGAGTTTCTTTGCTGCTGTCATCGTTGTACCACCTGACCCTCCCGATCGCTTAGTTAGCTGATTTACCTTGACATCGGCCTCCATCAAACAAATTCTCGGCAGTTCGTGGTAGGCCGCTGGTTTGTTTATTCTACCCAATATCACCGACCTCCGGGGCCGTGTGCCGTCCCTTTTCTTTGCCCTCCTGTCCTATCCGACCGCCGAACTGTGTTTTAATCGGCTCGCCGGTCAAACGTCTAGGCCTGCTCCGGGCTGTGTACGCCCGTACTACGGCAGCGCCCACAGCTGCCTATACGCGCACACACCCGCGCGCAAACAAGTGCCCTTGGTCTTCTGTAATGGCCCAATTCCCCAAGGGCATAGCCACGCACCTCCGGGGCATCGCTCTCACAGTGCCATGGCTGCTCTGGCTTCTCGTAGCCGACGTGCTACTTTCTTTCCTGCTACCCTTCAAGTTCCTATTTCCCGATGCCGTCTATAACGCCTCGTCGCGTATCGCCCTCTCGGTGTGGCTGTGGATCCAGAGCATTTTCGAGGTCTTCAACAGCGCCGTCATCACCGTGTCGGGCGACCGTCTGCCGCCGCACGAGAGCGCTATTGTGATCGCCAACCACGTTTCTTGGAGTGATTTCTATATGATCCAAGCTATGGCCGTGCAGGCCGGCATGCTCGGCCGCTGCCGGTGGTTCGCCAAGCAGCAGCTTCGGTTCGTGCCATTCTTGGGATGGGGCCTCTGGGCCATGGGCATGCCCTTGGTTAGCCGGAACTGGCTCAGGGACAAGGCTGAGCTGGATCGTGTGTTCCGGGGAATCACGAAAAGGAAGTGGCCCATATGTTCGTGCCGCCCACTTACTTGAACCCTCACACACACTCTCTTCCTGCCTATGCATGCACGAAACAAAAGGCAAACCTTAATGTTCCGCCAGCTACCATGTCTTGCTCCTCGCAAAAATATGGGATTGTTGGTTCTCGATGGTACGCCGTTCCTGCTGATACATGCGTATAGGGCTTATCTCGTTTTCCGAGGCTACGCGCTTTACGCGCAAGAAGTATCTAGAATCCGAGCAGTGGTGCGCCAACAACAACAAGCCGCAGCCCCTGCATTTGCTGTACCCGCGAACCAAAGGGTTCGTCGCTACCGTCCAGCATCTACGGAAAACGTCGCACATCAAGGCTGTCTACGACTTTACCATTGCCTACCAGCATGGCCGGCATTGGCAGGGGGCACCCGAAATGTGGGATACGCTTTCAATCCCAAGGTTGAGCGGCCCCGCTCATAACGTGCCGCAGCAGATGAGAGGAGAAGGTTATCGGTTCCATGTGCATGCCAGGCGATTCCCGCTCGAGGAGCTGCCGCACGACGACGAGGGCTTGGCGAAATGGCTCGAGGCGAGATGGGTCGAGAAGGGGAAGTGGCTGGACGAGACGAAAGCATTGTGGGTTGATGAGGGCAAGACAATGTGACGCAGGAAATGTGTAAGGGACACTTGAGGGAGGCGGGGGGTTCTTGTTCCTCCCTCGAAACAGACCAGTTCTGCCCGTTCGTCGTGAGACGTGGGATACGTGCTGAGAAAGAATCTGGCCACTCTCTCGGCAATAACACGCGATAGGTCGGAAACGTTTAGGAGCCGACGCCCGACCTCGACAGGAAACAAATGCAGCCAATAAGTATGCATACAACATATAGGGTAACGAGCAGCCAGTAGCAGTATAAACCAAAAACGTACCCATGGAAGCCGAGGCGTCTGCAGCTTAATATATAACCCATGACTGCCGCCTCAATGGCTTTAAAACAGAGTGTCAGCGCGAAAGAGACAAGACTAAATGCGACATACCGTACGGCATGCATGCATGCTGCTGTGGTTTGCCATTTGTCAAGGACGAAAAACCTCGGGACTTAGGCATAACAAGGTGGGCAGCACTATGCGGCGCGCATGAGCTTTATTGAAGCAGTATAGAGAGAGGGCAGAATTTGCCACAAATAATTGCAGTACACAAATTTGAAGGAAGGAAAGGGAGTCCCTATCCATTTTTCTCTCGTCGAGTGGCACAACAACAGCACCAGCATGGCAGGAAAGAAACGATGATCAAATCATCCCGTGGCCGTGTTTGACCGACCGTGTGTGTCTCCAGTCGGTCGTGTAATGTTCAGTGGTTGGCTCCCCCCTTAGGCAAGGCTTGTTTTTTTTCTACGGGTAAATGCAGAGATGATGATGATGATGCCCCATGAGATAGGGGATGGAGAAATAGGGAGAGATAGGATAGAGATGGAGGAGAAGAGGGAGGGAATATAAGCACGTACAATACCTGCGAACAAGAATGACGATGGAGTCGGTTGTCGAACAACACTGTTGAAGGGAGGCGAAAGAAAAGAAGAGAAAAAGAGTAAAATGCGGAGAAAGGCTAATTGTCTCACTTTCACCCCGCACAAGCCAATGAGACAACTACCTTACCTACGTACACTTTTGTAGTACACGAAGTGGTGGTGTTGGTGCATACCTATCTACCTTACGCATATGCGAGTGCGAGTGTGTGTGTCTTGTCTGTGACATGCGTGTGCTTGCGCATGCTTGCTTGCGCAACAAGAGTAACAAACAGAGAAATTAGCGGCTGTCAAATGATGCTTGTCGTTTTCCATTCAAAGTTCAAAAGTTCCAACTATGTAGGGCCGTTGTGCAACGGGAGATAGATACCATAGAGCGCGAGGGGTATTTGGCCTTTTGAAGGAGGTGCTTGGTTTAATCGTGCGACGGAGGCCATTGAAGTGACGAGTAGAGAGAGTGTGTGAATGAGAGAGGGAGATGGGATTGAGATCCGCCATTTTTTGGTGTTTGGTCACCTAACTCGCAATTGGTTATATCCGTGATCCCCAAGAGTTACGCGTGAGTCGGCTGCAAAAGCCCAGAGATCCGATCGAATCCAGGACCTTTTGCGCAAAGTCCTTGTCGGTCACTTAATTACCATCACCGCTCCCAATGGCTAAGCCAGACTTCAATCTCACCAAGCAGGATATTCACTCGACGATTGCTCTAGATCGGGTGGCACGCCGAGGAGGTTGCTGGGCCCAAACATCTCTACGATGCATGTTTCCCTCTTGGGCGGGCTTCTCGGCCGAAACATGGACGAGAGATCGTCCCTAGTTAGACAGTCACGGCCCGGGCCTGTACTCGGATAGCCCGGGAACAACGGGGGTGAAGGGAGAGTTAACATAATCCCCGCCCTTGACCTCCTTTCCCCTTGGCTGTAGGCCGCGTCTTTCTCCCTTCCTACCCTTGCCTAGCTCCTTCGGCTCCCTCAGAACGAGTAGGATATAATTAGAGGGTGCATTTGGGGAGTTGAGGCATTGGTCAAGGTCGGATGGCTTGTGACTCCAGCAGATGCACTGGCTGCACTGGCTGCATAGGCTGCACCATGCAGCTGCAATATTATCTGCTCGAATTCTGTTGCTAATGTTGCTACCCAGGAGGGTAGGGCGCCAAGGATCGTGGGCGCCGACATGATGCGGTGTTCAGACTCTCGACGAGAACGTACATGGCGCGGCGACGGTCGACGAAGCCGGGCGGAATGCTCCAAAGCTGGGGGGAGCCGGTGCGGCGGGAGGACTGTGGGGCATAAGCCCGTGGTTGTCTGCCGTGGTGCCAACACGGGTATGGACATTTGGGGGCATGACGCCGACAGTTTTCCATGTTCAGGAGAATGGCACTGGCCGGTTTGTTTGGCTGGGAAGCATGTCGATACTCGGCGGGATGCGACTTGACGTCTCGTATACATGGCTATGCATGCGGTTCGTCTCACCGACAAGCATCCCAATATGTCTTTAATCTGTGGCAAGGGAAGGGCCCATTATGGGCCCATTATGAACCGAACAGCCTCAAGCAGGTGGCTGTAAGAAGCGTTAGATCTGCTTGGCCATTGAGTTGCGGGGCGAGGGGTAGGGCAGATACACGTGCATGTAGGGATGAGGGGTTCCAGGAATGGAAGCTCTCCTTAGAGCAGCGATGCGGTTATGGCGGCGGTTGACGCGCACAATGCCATCGCATGCATCCACCGCCCGCAACCCCGGCGTGGCTACCAGCAGCATTCTGGACTCTAGAGCGGTGACAGCTCCGCGAGTCCGCGAGTCCGCGAGTCCGTGTGGATGGGATGGGATGTGCACGGGCGCAGGCGCAGGCGCAGGCGCAGGCGCAGGCGCAGGCGCAGGCGCAGGCGCATGCCATGGTCGGGTCTTCTCACCGCCCGCGTACTTCACAGTATGTACTTATAGAGAGGCGCCTCTCCAAGATCGCGGCCAGGGCTTTTGTGCGCCAAGCTGCAACTGCTCAACTGGTGGCATCCAATCTTTGGATGCCAGGGAGCTAGAGCAGGTATCGGTATTGGGTCGGATGGAGCAGAGACGTATCCAGAAGACCTACATATATATGTAAGGCAGTGGACTGCGTCAAGCCGAATCCTTGACTCAAATTTCGAAAATTCGAATTGGTCTAGTGGCCCCGACTGTAGACAAAGAGCGGAGGAGTGTGAGGGGGTTGTGCGTTGATTCGCACCCGTGCTGTAACAGCTAGATACATCGAACTTTAGCTGTGATGGCACTGCGGGTTTGGCGTTCAATTATCAATCATTTGAAGGTGCATTTGGGCTCAATTGGAAGGTAGACTAGGACTGTCACAGACACCAGACAGCCCACGGGCTGCCGTTCGATGGTCACCCTCCCCTCCAACGGTGCATCCCATTGACAGGCGCTGCAGGCTGATCTTGGGGTATTGAGGTCACTCGGCTCCAAACCATTTGCGAGTCAGTTGAGGCACACGTACAATATTCATAGGGAGGCATTGTTGGACGGAACTGAGAAACGGATACCGAGCCGGGAGCAAGGACCTGCCCGACCCCGTCTCCATCGCTGTTGGCCTCCTGTTGACACTTGGCTTGGTTCAGTTGTCTCGGTTCCAGTGTTTTGGGAGTTGTGTGAATTTGGCAATGCGATGGCCATGGTGATAGTCGTGAAAGAAAAGAAAATGGTTCAACGGCCCATCTCAGACCAATTGGCTGGATGCAGTTGCACAGACCGACCGAAGAATGGCAAGATCTGATTTGCCTCGATGGTTCGTTCAGAGAGGCACTGGTAATCCCCCCAATGGCCTCCTGCAGCACTCGCATCTCGCTGCGACAGACGACAGACAGAGTCAGGCCATGCAAGGACGCCAACAAAACCGAGTGTCAATTGGAAAGGCGGCCTGGAGGCCCCAGGCATGCATGCTATTACCATCCATGTCTTGAGTTGTTGGGTCGGTCTCGGAGCTGGCTGCACCTCTGCCAGAGCAGAGCAGGTCACGTTGGCCTCGATGATCGCTCAAAGCACAGCACCGCCAGGCAGCAGCCACCTAATTGGCCGAGCGAGCACCTCGGCGGCGGGGCTCTCGACGGGTAGAGGTTAGCTCAAGCTTACCTAGCTCATTCGAGGTTCCCAGTTCAAGTGAATGCTCGACGCTGGCACAGAAGCGGGAAGGAAGAAAGTGATCGCCAGGCCTTTCCCCAGGCTTGGGCTTCGAACTCTCCCGTCTTTACCAATTGAAGAAGGAAAATAATCATTCCATGATTAGCATGTTTATACGCGGCGCTCGTTGTAATATTCGGAATGGCCCAAAATACCGAGGATACCAGGATTTAAGACGCGGGAGTTACATCCATTACCTTAGGTACGGAGTAGCAGGTATCATGAATCCATGATGTTATGCCGTGCACGCCGCCCACGAGCGACGGGGGGGAAAGGGTAGCGTGACCAAGCAAAGGCGCAGAAGGCAGGGCTGCCTTGGGCTCTTGGAACGCCCGCTAGCACCCTCTGGGTACTTGGTGCCAGCATTTTCCCAGAAAGCTGCAGCTGGAGGCGAGTTGATTGGGCTGGTGCGGGCTCTTTTCCCCGCTTGTGAAGCACCTCCAAGACGCGGGACTACACAGTAATTCGTTCCTCGCGTGCTGAGGCCGGTCAATGGAAGCGAAGCGGGAGCGCTGCGTCACGTCGCAGTTGCCAGGTCGTCGCTGTCGCTGTCGCTGTCGAAGGCCGTCCGTCCACTGTTGGTATATGTAGAGTTAACTAAGAAACGGTAGTGGTAGGGTGCACACTCTGCCCACGACTCGTCAGACGCAGGCAGCCAGGCCCAAAAAAAGCAGGTGAAGAAAAAGCGGCACATAAACAAAGCTGGGCCGGGCTTTTCTGGGACGACGTCCGCCCTCGACGGCCGACGCACGGAAGCCACCCCCAACTCTAGCCAGCGCAGGACTGACTGGGCTGGAGAACAAAGGGCCCCACCTTAAACTTTCCACTTCTGGAACACCAAAACCCACAATCGAGTCACAGCGACAACACCGACGAAGACCACCTACCCCTACCAGGAGAGGCATATCCTTGCCTGGAGACGACAACCTCGCCTTGTGTCCCGTCTGTCCGCGCTGCGCATCTTGGGATTGCTGCGCCTGGGATTGCCGCAGCCTCGAATCTGCCCCATTGCCGCCCACAGTCACAGTGCCCATACTGGCTTCGTTAGACGGTTACCTAACCTTGGCCCAGCGCTGACGGCGAGCCAGCGGCGTCTGCGGCGCTCCTAGACTCGTCCGGACCTGCCTGCCCTTCACTGCCATCAACCTAAGCCAGGCCCGATTGCTGCTTTGCTCCGAGAAAACGAATGCCCGCCGCTCGGCTGTCACCAATGCTGCTGTAACGACAAAAGCACGACCACAGCGACAAGCGACGACGACAACAACCACCACCACCAGACGGTTGCCGGCGACAGGCCTCGGCAACATCGACGACGAGACATTCACGTCAACACATTATGTCTCGGACTTCTGCTTTCCTCTAGCTCTGGCGTTCCGGCCACCAAACAGCCCTGGTGGTCCACGGTCCGACGGTCAATAACGAAGTCAATCAATCACCAGGCCGAACTCTCGACTTTTCGATTTCTCGACAATCCATCAACTCATTCCTCCAACACCCCGCGCGTTTGGGCCCCGACTCACGCCACGCCCGCCCCTCCACCCCCTCGCACCCTGCCCGATCCCAACAAACACAAAGAATCGCCGTGCAAACAAGCGAGATAAGCGATTGCTCGCCCTCGCACCGCTGCAAATGGTGACTGTGTAACTTATTTTTGCGCGCCTGTCTTCCCGCTGCGATGGAGGAAGAACGCACCCCACCAACCATGCTCGCGCCGTCGGCCGTGACGTCGCTCCGGGCCAGCGCCGGCGTCATGGAGCGGTCGCTCAGCGAGGATATTCGGGAGGAGCGGGAGGAGCTCCGTGAGGCTGCCGAGCAGACCCTCAACATCATCTTGGATCTCAACCTGGACGGCACCATCCGGTGGGTGAGTCCCTCGTGGGTCGACGTGATTGGAACGCCGCCAGAGTCGGTTACGGGAGCTGCCATTGCCGATCTCATTGTCGGCGAGAACCCCACCATCTTCACTGATACCATTGAGAACATGCAGAAGGACGATTTGCGCAGTCGTTTCATCCGATTCGGCCTCTGCCTGAGCCCGCTTTCCAAGCTGCTTCCTCTGGAGATGCTGAAGGAGTCCGACGGCTCGACTCTCCCCGTCATTGACCTCGAGGCGCAAGGCATAATGGTCTACGACATAGCTTCCGGGGGTGAGAGTCACGTACGTTCAATCTTGTTTGGGCCTGCCTCTTCCAGACGCGAGCCGCCACTAACTGCACGTGTTAGACAATGTGGATGGTGCGGCCATGGATGGCCCCTCGGGAGATCAAGATCGATCTGCCCGCCGTCATCGTCGAGTCCCTGGGTTCCGGCGCAGAGGTCCTTGCCAGCTATCTGACACATCTTGCTGAATCGGGCTTGGAGGATCCATCCCAGGTCGCGCCTCCGCTTCCTGTTCTCTGCAGGATATGCGAGCGCCAGATTCCGCCCTGGTGGTTTGAGAAGCACACCGAGCTGTGCTCGCAAGAGCATCGCGCGGAAATGGACGTACAGATGGCCCAAGAGAGCTTGACGGAACATCGCCACGCTATTGTCAAGGTCTTGGATGCGCTGGAGGCAAGGCGGAGCCGTTCCACAACCGGTGACCAAACCATCCTCCCAGTTGCCGAATACAAGGGCATGCCGATCGGGCCACCAACCTCGACGACTTCTTCTCCCGGGACGTCCTCCCCTGGCCCTGTATCGGCTTCGGGTGGCTCGAGAGAGAGGTCTTCGGGCTTTGGTCATTCGAGAGCTCGATCGTTTGCCATACGACGGCCGCAGGCCAGGATAGTCGAGTTGCTTCTAGATCTTTGCGACACCAGTATCGAGATTAGTACTCCCGCCATCAAAGAGACGTCGCAGACACCCGGCGAATTCCGCACCTCGTCGCCCCAATCCGAAGGCCGCATTGCGCAAGTGATACAATGGGAGACGCCCAGCACCAATACTCTCGAGCAGGAGCAAGGCCTCGCCCTGCTCTGCGCTGATACTGAGAAGGTGGCAAAATCCAAGGTCGAGGCTGTTTTCCGTCACCGCAAGATCCTCGAGTACGCCGAGCGGATCCGCATCGAGTTTGCTATAATGGTCCAAGAATGCATAGATGAGGCCATGCGTAAAGCTGCGCAGATCGTTGCGGGCCGCCTTAGCGATTCTACCGAGGGAGAGTCGGAACAAGAGGATGATAATGTGCCGATGACCGAAGAAGGCATCTTTTCGGGATCCTTCGATGCCCCATCGACCCTGGCATTGGCGCTTCAAAATGCCGACATCAACGAGGATCCCGACAAGCGGCGGCTGTCGATGGCGGTCGAATCCACCGTTTCCAGCAGCCCGAAGGAGTGTCCCACCCCTCGGTCTCATCGTGGCGCCCTCAGCAGCCTGACAGGTCAAGGCCAGTCGCGCCGCGAATCTTTGATATTCGAGAGTGATGCCGGCGACAGCGACGGCAGCATGAGGTCTTCCTCTGTGACCTCACGACCGCCCCCGCGGACAGATTCGCCCATATCCGAATTTGGCGATCTTCGCCGACAGGCAAGCTCGCGACAGCACCAGCGCCGGAGCCTGATAATCCCAGGCACATCGTCTCCGCGGAGACAAGAGTCTCCTTCAAGACCCGGACAACCGGCGTCACCCCTCCGCATCCACAAGCCTCGTGGCCTAGTATTTCCTTCGGACGGTTTGATGTCCCCTGAAGCTTCCCCCATGCTCCCAGGCAGCGAGTTCGCCTCACCCAACATCGCCCAGCACCATCATCATCAGCACCACAGAAGACAGTCTTCGGCTGCAGTCTCGGCTTCTACAGGAGAAATGTCTTTCAGGCCTCCGCCTTCGCCTCGGTTAAGCGCCGTCCTCGGAGCACCGCAAGCGAAGGCCGTACCACCTTCGATCAAGGATTTTGAAATCATCAAGCCCATAAGCAAAGGCGCGTTCGGGAGCGTCTACTTGTCGAAAAAGAAGTCTACTGGCGAATACTTTGCAATCAAGGTGCTGAAGAAGGCAGACATGGTTGCCAAGAACCAAGTAACCAATGTCAAGGCCGAGCGGGCAATTATGATGTGGCAGGGCGAAAGCGACTTTGTTGCCAAGCTCTACTGGACATTCTCGAGCAAGGACTACCTTTACCTGGTGATGGAATACCTCAATGGCGGCGATTGTGCGTCTCTGATCAAGGTCCTTGGGGGCCTTACCGAGGACTGGGCCAAGAAGTATCTTGGCGAGGTCGTTCTCGGAGTCGAGCACCTGCATAGTAGAGGCATTGTTCACCGCGATTTGAAACCGGACAACCTCCTAATTGATCAGAAGGGCCACTTGAAGCTGACCGATTTTGGTCTATCGCGCATGGGACTGGTTGGTCGACAGAAGAGAGCCCTCAATAGCGGTGCTGATGCTGCCCCTGATCTCCTCAAACAGGGTCCGTTTGCTAGGTCTGCCTCGATGGCTTCGTCGAGGTCAACCTCGCTGGATCTCCACGGACGGAGTCAGTCTCCCAGCTCTACGCCGCAAATGACACCCAGCGACATGGGCGCAAGCCTAGGCCAGCCATCCTACTTCAGCCTCGGGTCTCTGTCCCATGAACCGCGACGTGTATCGAGCCATCGCAGCGATAGTGGCAGTAGCGATGCATTGGCACAGCTATTGGGGAACTTGGCTTTGAACGACGCGCCACCAGGCGCTTCTCAGGCAATCCAGTCACCCGGGGATGGAAGCGAGATGGAAGCTGCTCCCTCGCCTGACTTTCCTTCCCTTACCCACACGAACACGCAGAGTAGTGTAGAGACCAGAGGGACACCTCCGCAACCAGCGATGCCCCCGCCGAACTGGGCCTTGTTCGATCCCGAGGACACCAACCGCCGGTTCGTTGGCACCCCTGACTATCTCGCGCCGGAGACGATCAGGGGCGAGCCCCAAGACGAGACAAGCGATTGGTGGTCTGTCGGATGTATTATGTATGAATTCCTCTACGGCTTTCCTCCGTTCCACGCGAACTCGGCCGAGCAGGTCTTCGAAAACATACTGGCTCGCAGGATCTACTGGCCCGATGTGAGCGAAGAGGATGTGTCGAAGGAAGCCAAGGACTTGATCAACAGGCTACTCTGCTCGGACCCGCACCAGCGGCTAGGCTCTAACCGCGAGGAAAAATTCCAATCTGGGGGCGACGAAATTCGGAATCACGCCTGGTTCGAGGGACTAAACTGGGAGACTCTGTTACTAGACGACGCCCAGTTTGTCCCGTGCCCGGAGAATCCAGAGGATACCGAGTATTTTGATTCTCGGGGGGCTACCCTGCAAACGTTTGCCGAGGAGATGGAGGACCAGTCGTCGCCGCCTTCGTCGGTGCCGACATCTGAATACCCGGATCGGCCTCATGACGCCCTGTCTCGCGTCAGGTCCCAGGTCAACTCCATGAAGCGAGGACTGATGCCGCTGCACATCCCGCCGCATGTTCGGGAGCTGAAAGGAAGACGCTTGAGCGAGCCCGTGGTAACCGATGACTTTGGTAATTTTGCGTTCAAGAATTTGCCCGTCCTCGAAAAGGCAAACAAGGACGTCATCCAAAAACTGCGGGCGGAGGCTCTTGCAGGTCAGACTAAACCGACCAGCCCTGGGGGTATGAACACAGTCGTGTCGCCCGGGGGCGCGCTAGAGGGCAGCCCTATTCCGATTTTGGCAAACCCAGTACAGAGAACGCTTTCAAATGCCAAGGCATCGCAAAGGCCGCAGTCACCCTCCGGCATAAATTACACCAACTCATCACCGAGCCGCATCTCGCAGCCATCCTCACCCCTGTTGGTTTCGTTTGTGGCCGGCCAAGGGACCGACGGCCGGCGCAAGGCATCGAGCAACGCGTCAAGCCTGTCGCAGCCCTCCAGCAACGCACTACAGCCAGGAGGCTTCTTTGAGATATCCCGCGTCCCCCCTACTTTGCAGAAAGCGGCTACTACAGCTGGCGCCTTATCGCCGATCAAGGGACGCGGGATTCCACCCCCCTTGCCCCTCTCGCCGCAAAAGGCTGGTCCCAATCAAATGATGTCAACTCCTCGACACGCCAGCGGTTCGTCTGCTGGCCGCTCCCGGTCTTTGACTGTTGGATCTCAAGAAGGCAGCCCTGTGGCGTCGGACATCTTGGCGGCCCATCACAAAAACCGTCGGAGTCAGGTCTTCGACATGTCACCCTCGTCCTCGGACAACGAGGGCGAGAAGGTTAATGCGCTTCTCCGGGTGCAGAGGCGCCGGCAGAGCTCGCGGCGAATGTCGCAGATTGCGCTTGACGGGCCGGTTTTCCGCCCCTTGGATGTGCTAATTTGCGAAGACCATCCAGTCTCCCGGATGGTGATGGAGAAGCTGCTCGAGAAGCTGCGCTGCCGGACGATTTCAGCAACCACGGGGTCCGAAGCTGTTCGCTTCTCCATGAGTGACATCAAGTTCGACATCATCTTCATGGAATTCAAGCTTCCTCAGATCAACGGGGCTGACGTTGCCCGCATGATCCGTGAGATGAAGAACGCAAACTCGCACACGCCAATTGTTGCTATAACAGCGTACCTGAAAGAGCTACAGGCGCCCCATTACTTTGACTCACTGATTGAGAAGCCCATCAGTCCTTCGAAGCTCACCGAGGTGCTTGGCACTCTCTGTCAATGGAAAACTGCCTCGCCAGGCCAGAACTATCCGCTCACTTTGTCGATGCCCCATCCTATCCCGTCAGGGCTCCGGCAGGAGAGTATGCGGCTCGAAGATAGCCCAACATCGGGCTCGTCGGGATATGCCCACCGCTCCAGCAGCAGCTTCCGCGAGGACTCGATAAGTTCCAGTCTTTTTGGGGATTCCGAATCTGTCTCGACAGATGATATCCCTATGGTCATTGGCAGGAAGGCTACTGGCGATTGGGACGAAGGCGGACTTGGCATCTCGGGGCCCGAGGAGGTCCTCTTGAGCTCCAGCGACCCACTAAAGTCTCCACTACACCCGCGCCTCCTCACGCAGCAATCGGCGCCAGCACAGATCGAACACTCATCCCGATCGGGGCCGGCGCCACAGCGCTCGCTGGAGAAGCTCAGGGCAAAGAGGGAATCGATAGAGAAGCGCAGGTATGAAGGAAGTGTTGATTCCGCCGACGATGAAGACGACGAGCTTGGCGTCCAAGGCAGCCAATCCGGCAGCAGCGGAAGTGGGAGCAACCCCGTTTCTCCGTCCAGAGGGCAGCATCACCGCAGCAAGTCGGTCCTACCGTCTTCAAAGCTCGGGATCGAAATGATGCGTGCAAACAGCCACGACAGTGTCATTGGTGCAGGGTCGGAAAGCACCAGCACGTTGGAGCCGGTGACTCAGGTGGTCACGCCAAACCAGGACCTGCACTTCGATTTCCCCGACTATACGCCGTCTTCTGATCCAGTGACGCCTCCGCCAGGCTCAGCTGAGGAAGAAGGCGATGCTACCGTAATTATCAGCACACCACCGGAGCCCGAGCACGGACCCGATGACCCCACCCCCATTGACGTTGACGAGACGCCCCGGCCAAGCTCGGCCTTTGGGCGCAAGATTCTGGGCGACGATGAGCCAACACCCCGTCCTCCGGTGAGATCGCTGGATAGAAATGTCGTGTCACCACTCCCAACTCGAATTTGACGCCTCTCTCACGAGCCGGGAATAAATATGTAAACAACACTCAGGACGGCCACACTCGGGGCCATTTCCTAACAATTCCGTTTTATCTTTTCCTTTGTCACTTTTTCTTCGCCATTTCTGAGTCCTAATTTGAGCGTGGCGTTCTTTGGGAATGGCAAACATGCCGAGACTTGCAAACATGCCGAGACTTGCAAACATGCCGAGACTGCATCATCCGTTTCTTTTCGTTTTGTATTGTGTTTTCTGTCATTTTTCTCTGTTGCAATCATCCCACGGCACCGGCATGGCACGGAAACTAGGGCGGGAAATGAGATGGCGGCGGGTTGGGCAAAGTAAATCGGGGAGCGGGCGTTCAGGAAACACATTATTGTTGTACGGCGATGATTAGTATGGAGGAGAGTGCAGCATACCCAGGTTGTTGTTGATGTTGCTGTCTTGATGTCTTGGGTGGGCTGTTTTTTCACATGGCTGTATCTGTTTTACACACTCGCACACACACACTTGGGGAGGAGAGGAGAGTTTATTACGAAGAAGCAGAAGAAAAAATCTCTCGACTTGTTAATCTCTACCTTTAATCTTCGGGCTCTGTCGTAAAAAAAAATTATATTGACCACCGCTTGGTACTTACTTGATTTTGGTGAAACAAGAGGGCTGTGTCGTTCCGCACTTCTGTTGTAGGTGCGTGTTAATTTCGTACGCCTTTTTGCTTATGAGTGCGTCTCTTGCTACCGTTAAAACGTCCCTACGTACTGGAATCCACCACAAATAACCCTAACCCTGACCAAAGGTGCAATTGCGTTGCCAGCGCATGGAGCGGTGTTGCCAGCGAATGCGGTAATTTTGGCTGTAAAATGTGGTATTTACTGGGCCGTGAGCTGTAAAGCCTTGGCGCCAATGTACCTATAGTACGTGGGGACGTTTTAACAGAAGACGCACTCTTGTTTATTTCGTACTTCACTGCCTCCCCACGAGCCCTTCCTTCCCACGGACGTCCCACGGACGTCCCACGGACGCACAGGCGGTGTCCCCGAACCCTTTTCATTTTCGTTCTGTCATCTCATGTTGCCCGCCTCTTTTCTACTCTAGCTACTTGAGTACCTAGCTACCTTGTCTTATTTTGTACATGCTATGTGTCTTTCCCGCTCTCAGGCTGGCTAGGTTGGCAATTCGCCTTGCCTTGGTTCTCTCAATGTTTATATCTCTATCTCTCTCGTTTTTCTTTTCGCTGATAAGCGAATGTGAGCTGGCAAAGCCAAATTTCCCATTATATTCTTCTTCGTCTTCGGGAAACCTAAAATGAACCTGGTGTGGTTTGGAGGATGGGGGACACTGGCTTGCAAAGGAACGGGCGGTTATCTCGAAGTCGGGCCAGCTACGTCGTAGCTACTTTTGCTCCTTTCGGAGTAGGCGACGATGAAGTCAGTCAGTCAGTCAGTCAGCCATGGGACCACAGACATGGAAGATTGTGCGTTATTTTGTCTCTCTGGCTCTAATCTGTCTTCAGCTCATCTGGGATAGGCAGGTAATGAAGCTCTGGCTATCGCTCTCTCTAGATCGTGGGGGAGTTTAGAAGCATGGGTGGTTGTTTCTCCCTCCTCCATCCCAAAAACAGGTAAAATAAGCAAGGGGGCACGGATGGGAATAAGTCGGGCTGAGATGTTCGGTTGCGCCCTGCCAGATAGATAGAAGAGCTGAGAGACAAAGGATTCCACTGAATAATATAAACCACGCGAGGCTTCCCTGTTGATTGGCTGGTTTCGGTTTCTCTGTGTGTGTGTACGAGTTAGTTTGCTCCTCGAACCTTATGATTGTGATGATGCGCGCGCGCCTGGTTGTGATGAACGATTTTGGGGGGTTTGGTTTGGTTTGGTTTGGTTTAGTTTCAGTGAAGTCAGTCAGCAACAAGGCAAACAAATAAAACAGTGTGTTGGTGACAGGGGAAGCTCGAAGAGCTGTTGTCGTCCATTGCTCTCACACACGTGTGGTTGCCAAGCCTTTTTTATTGGGTTGATACGGATCGTGCGGCTCAGAAATCAAGCAATGTGGCTGACGCACAACACAGGGAATATTGGCAGGCGGCGCACAGGGGAGCGAGCCCTGGAAAGCCAGGTGTGCCGTATACAGTGGTGTGTTGCTGCCCGTGCAAGAAGAGAAAATTAAATCTTCGGTATCCGCAAATGGTGGGGGTTGCCGAGCCGTACCAAATCGAAGCTGCTGAGTGGCTACCGCCGAACCGGGGCAGAAGGGGTGGGGTTTGGCCACGGCAGTGACCACAGGCCTTCCCAGTTTTGAAGGTATTGGCCTAAACAGTGTAGTGGAGGGGGTGAAACGTTGTAAAAAGGGTTATCTCTGTAACGATACGTGCTGTGCGCATTGAGTCGAGGCTGGATTGGTGCATACATTGGTTTTTTTATGTCAAAGGGATCTATAGGCTCTGGGTTCCTGGCCTCCAGGGGACCCCTCAGCCCAATCATGCACACACGTGTTGGCTACAAGCCCCGTGATTGGTCGGCGTGAGTACAAGGCCGATCTGACGGCAACTGCAACTCCTCCCCGCAATCCGGGGGCCGCGAGAAAAACCGCAACAGCTGTTGCCGCTGCAGCGCAGGGAGGAAGCCCTTTTCTGGCTTGGCTTCGCCTTTTAGATCGGGACATCTCTCGGCGTCTGGGCATATGTCCGCCGCGCCCGGGAAGGGCGGCAGTGGCGTCGGCGGCGTTCGTTTTGGTCTTGGCGCACCGTCCTTCCCTGCACCGGCCTGACCTAACTCTAGAGAGTCTTCTCGGCGGGCGTGGTCTGTCCGCACATGAGAAGTCCTCTCTCTGTAGGCACTGTTCCCGGCGAATACGGGCATTCGGCCATTGGAATATATTGCAGCATCCTATCGGGTGTCTCTGGGTATCTCTGGCGGCTCATTGGGTTTGTGCTTCCCACGGGCGGTAACAAGCGCGAGAGTCGGTCATCGCCGGTTCAACACTTTCTGGCGTTGCCATTGCCCAATGCACAGCGCAGTGGAGCGAAGCTAGACCTTCCAGGATGGGTAGGGACGTCAACGTGGATTCGCGGCTGCATGGGACATGGGACCAGAAAAGGCCGCTAGCAGAGTCGGGAACCTTTCTGGGCTCGGGCAACGCCACCCAGGAACCTTGGAACTGCAAATGAATTGGATGGGGGAAACTCAAGTGGAGGCATACGCCTTCGAGGTATAAAAGTCGGTTTTCACGAGGCCCTCTTTTGCCGTTATGCCGCTCTTTCCTTAGCTCCATGGCTCCATAGCTCCATCAGCTCCATCAGCTCCAGCAGCTCTTGCCTTCCGAGGGGGGGTTGATCTTGCCCCTCGATTTCAGACTCTTTTTTCTCTCTTCCATTTTCCTCTCTTTGCGCTTGTTTGCCCCGGGACAACTTACAACGGCTTAACCGACCTTGCCTAGGTCTAGCTCACCTCCCCCAGCTAACCTAGCTTCCTCCTGCTTGGGTTGTAAACGTTTCTCCCGCTGCCATCGCTTGAAATAAAACGTCTGTTCGGCCGGACGGGACAGGACAGCACAGGCCCGCCAGTACAAGTACTGAATAGTACCTACCTTGCTGATTCGAGTTTCTTGTTTCTCGGACGACCCCTCATCCCTCGCCCATTGGCCCCCCTCTCCACCTCAACCGACCTACATATTATCCTCACTCTCATCCTCTTCCTCCTCTTTCTCTACAACTCGCCCCTCAATCCCGTCTTGTTTATTACTATCCAGTCGTCACCCTCTATTCAATTGAGGCCCCTTTTTCTGCAGCGCACTGCCCTGTGGCAGACCACACGCCATCCAAGATCGTTTCTGACTGCCTTGGTGCTCGAAGCCAATGGCGGAGCTAATACGGCACCATCCGCACCATGACCCGGTCCTGGGCGAGGTTCCCGTGCCACACGGCCCCGAGACGGGCGGCGAGCATGACCATTACCCGCGCCGCCCCGTCAAGGGAGACCCTGAGTCTGAGCAAAGCATCTTCGCCTACCTGACGCACCCGGACGACAGCTACACCCCCGAGGGTATCTACTGGGCCGATCTGCCCCTTCGCCAGCGCGTCTCCTTTGTCAACAAGGTCCAGAATGAAGAGGCCATGAATGAGCTGCGCACCATTGGCCGCATGATCAAGAAGGACCCCTTGAGTCCGCTCTCGTGGTACTTCCGCAACGCCGTGCTGCCCGGCGCCGGCCTCGGCCTCGAGGGTTACGTCCTGTTCAGCATCGGCAACCTCACACCCCTGTTCTCCGCCGTCTGGCCTACGTGCTGGGGTAAGACGCCTACCGACTGCAGCGAGAACTGGGTCGCCTCGGTCACCTACCTCGAGGTCATTGGTATCATGGTCGGCCAGCTCGGCGTTGGCGTCATCGGCGATTGGATCGGCCGCCGCTGGGGCCTGATCCAGGACGCCGCCATCATGTTTATCGGCCTACTCATGCTCACTGCCAGCTGGGGCCTGAACCTGAATGGCTGGGTCATCTGTTATGCCTGGTCTTTGTTCTTCTATGGTGAGTTTGTACCTCCCCAACCGTCTGTGAGGAGAACCGTTCCCCCCCTAAATCTTTCGTTTCAGGCTTTGGCGTCGGTGGTGAATACCCCATTACCGCAACGTCGTCGATGGAGAATGCTGTAACAGCTGGCAAGCTGTCCACTCGCGAGGACCGCCTGCACCGCGGACGCAAGGTCACAATGTCCTTCTTGATGCAGGGCTGGGGTCAGCTGATCAACCAAGGCTTGCTCATCATCCTCCTTCTGATTCTTCACCACGGCGACGGAGACCCGCCATACAGTGACACTACTGTGCAGTGGGTCTTCAGACTTTCGTTTGCCATTCCCGCCATCGGAACCCTCTGGCTCGTCTACTTCCGCACGTACAAGATGCCCCATGCCAGCCGACAGCTTGCGGCTGCCAAGAAGAAGAATAACGTCACTGGCTACGACTTGGAATCTCTCAAGATGTGCTACACCCACTTTGGTGGCCGCCTGTTTGCCGCTGCCGGCGGTTGGTTCTGCAACGACGTCTTCTTTTACGGCAACAAGCTCTTCCAGTCGCAGTTTATCGCTGTCATCAGCAACAATCCGAAATCAGTCATGGTCGGCTGGGTTTGGAACCTGCTGAACGTCATTGTCTCGCTCCTTGGCTATTATTTAGCCTCTTTCATGATCGACAATAAGTTTTACGGCCGCAAGATGATGCAGCAGGTCGGGTTCCTCATGTGCTTCATCTTTTTTGTCGTGCCTGCCTTCAAGTACGACTACTACACTTCGCCCGCTGGCATAAAGTCCTTCCAGGCCATGTATTTCCTTTCGAGTTTCTTCAACCAGTTTGGACCCAACAGCGTCACCTTCCTCGTTGCCGGCGAGATCTTCCCCACCCCGGTCCGCGCTTCGGCCCACGGCTTTAGTGCTTGCATTGGCAAGGCCGGCGCGCTCCTCGCCTCGGTTCTCTACAATTACATCGACACGCAGACAAAGTTCTACGTGGTGCCGTGGTTCGGCCTGGCGGGCATGGTGATTACTTGGCTGTTCCTGCCCGACACGACGGGTCTTGACCTTAAGGAGCAAGAGCGTCGGTGGTTCTACATTCGCTCCGGGCGCGGCGACGAGTACCACGGCATCGCCGTTCACCCGGTACATCTGTCGCTGTGGGAGCGCATGCGTGGTGCCGGCAAGAATTACAACCCGGAGCTGGACCAGAAGCAGAGAATCGAGGACATGCGGGAGGAGTGGGCCGGAAAGGAGCGCTCGCGCCGTGATAAGGAGGTTAGCGGCGATGCTAGCGGCACAGCCGACCTTGACGACGACGATGATTGGAGCGACGCAGTCAACCACTATTTCCGCAACACCACGTCGGACGACAAGCTGAAGATGCAGCCTGGTACCGAATCCAACAGCGAGAAGGGCGTCTCTAACGAGGAGGCCGGCGACAAGATTGGGAATGCTTGATGGATTTTGTTTGCTAATATTTCTTTTGAGTGGTGGATATCATTTGGACTAGCGAGCTCAATGTACTTTTTTGTGCTTTTCGGCGTCGGAGTTATAAGGCTTTCCATAACTACCAGGTACCTGCCCAGTCTCCCATTTTAGGGTATAGTATAACGAACTTCATATGAATCTGCGTGTTCGCCGTGATTGGAGATCAGTCTCGACAGCAGCACTAATACGTGATTGGTGGTTACCTGCCCGGGTACCTAAGCAACTAAGGTATGTGAGCCCCGGGCTTACATAAGGCAGTTTACCTCCACTAACTTACAGCTTTCTCGTCGCGGAGTCGCGTCCTCATCTCCCTCCTAAATACCTTATTTATTAGCCCCTGAAATGACCCGCATTGGCTGGAATAGCGGGGAAGAAACCAACTTTCTTCTTGCTGTCCAGGACTAGCGTGATGCCGACGATTTCAGGCAGCGGAATGCGCGCGAGAGCAAATCGATTGCCGCCGTAGTCCGTTGTCCCACCCGAAGCATGGATCCAACGAGGCTTCAATCTATGCGTCCTCGTCCACGTCGTCCAGTCCCGCAACTCGTCCCGCCGTTTCGTCTTCCGTTGTCCACTGCCTCATAAGCTCGCCTAGGATCAACATCCCTTTACTATCGACGAGAAGGTCGCCAATGCGAGGTGGGAGCTTACGCCTGGATGCTAGAGCACTGCGCCGATATCCGGATCCCGCACCTTTACGCCTTTCGTTTCACAAGTGGCACCCATTTCTGTATATTTCTTTTGTGCACCCTCCCTGCCCGCCCTACATCTGGACTTCAGTGCTACGTAATGCTAATATGACCCTCCCGCGACCTAGTTTGTCCACATCCATCAGAGGCCCTGGTATGTCGGCATTCGCCATGTTTTATGGCGATATTTGTATCGCCTCCTCGGCTATCCCCTGCTCTCGAACTACAGCCGGGACTTGTGCACGCCATCTGCGGGCACTGCCTACATGCTCCTAGAACACATTAAGCCCGAGACGGGCCAAATGCTGTCGACGACATGGGCTCAACGCCGCCGCGATCCCCGCCGCCAGGACCGCCTCTTTAGTGGCCTGGCATGCGTCATGCTCTCGCTGGCCCGTCTCCCGCAACCGCACATTGGCTCTTTCCGGTTCAACGCGACCGACGGGACAGTCGCGCTCACTAACCGACCGCTAACATGTTCCACCATCATCTTCAAGAATAGTAGCACGCCGAGGAATATCCAACCTCGGCAGCTTTACCAGAGCACCGATACCTTCGCTTCGGACATGCTTACCATGTATGACAACTCCCTGCTCCACTACCGCCATGCCGTTCGGAATCACAAGGACGTCCGAGAGCGCATGACCATCCGGACGCTGCTCCGGGCGGCCATGCACCACTTTATCCCCCCAGACCGCCGCAACGGCCCGCCCCTCGTCCAGCTCACCGATATCCACCAGAGCAACATTTTCGTGGACGACGACTGGAACGTCACGTGTATGCTCGATCTCGAGTGGATCTGTGCGCTTCCGGCGGAAATGCTGGCAGTGCCTTACTGGCTGACGGGCTGCACTATCGACGACATCGTCGGCAGCGAGTACGAGTCCTTCGACTAGGTGCGGCAAAAATTCCTGGCCACAATGGAGGAAGAGATCAAGTGTACGGCCCGGCCGGTAGCACACGACATTCCGGTCATACGCACGATGTAAGACTCGTGGTCCTCCAAGGCCGTATGGTTCTGGGCCTGCATCACGTCCATCAACGGCTGGCTCTTCGTCTTTGAAGACCACATCCTCCCCAAGTTCGGGGCCGACAGATGCTTGATTCCTAACTCGAGCCGGGCCTCGGCGCTCTAAACCGAAGGTATCGACGCCGTCGTCAAAGTCAAGGTCGACAACGAAGACAAGTATCGGGGAGAACTGCGTTCTCTTTTTGCCAGCCACCGAGAAACCCTCCCCCCTGAGGATAGCCGAAAGCCAACTGAGTATCAACTGTTGTAACCAGCCCAAACCATCGAGAGAGCTAGACGAGCTAACTAACCAACCATACCTTTCGTCTAATGGGAGGGGGGATATGATTAGTAAAACACCAAAAATGCATTAGGGGTGTGCTTAAATTCTTTTTACTAACCACGTCTTCTCCTTGTCATCGTCGTCTGGATCCTGGTCGAAGCCACGAGCCTTGGCGTGCAAATTTTGCGGCTTTTGCCTAACTTAGCACTGCTGCAGCCTGGGCGGGTATCTTGGAACCGTCCCGTCGGTGCTGCCCACTCCTAGACGTACGTATCCCGGAATACTTTTTGGGAAGAGGGGCCATGCTACATGCCATGTATGCCTAATATGCAGCGAGACAATGTGGTGCGCGCACCCTTTTGTTTCTGAGCTCCCAGCAAAGAGAAGCAGAGCAGGCGAGTCGAGTGACATCCTAACCCGCATAGACCACCACCAGGCTCTCTCTCCCTCCCTCCCTTCGAGTGAGAGAGAGAGCGCGAGGATCCAACGCGTCGGTCCTTCCATGCCATCGGGGGGGGGGGGTCCAATCCGCAGTGCGAATTTCTGCGCTTTAATGTAGGCACACACGCCACACATATCATGCACCTGACTGGTCCCTCACAAGATGCACTTGGCACTTGGCACTTGGCCGTGGGCCTGACCAGGGCTCGTTGGCAGACTTCGGTCTAGATTCTGCTCGGTTTATTAGTCTGGGAACATGTTTCGAAACGGTGGTCCCTCTAAATCTCGGCGAGATCAGCAGGGGGCGAATAATTCCTCAACTACGACCTCTACTCTGTCACATACGACCATACCTAGTTGAAAACTCGGGATCCCGTCCGCTCTCCCCTAGATAAAGAACCAAGGGGAAGTTTATCTAAGGGGTAAGACGAAAATACCGTTATTTTGCAATATACTATTAAGATAACCGTTTTGCCAACTTCGCCGTTGCGGCGGCGGCGTCATCTATTTAAGAGGGGTGGTTAGGCCTCCTGTTGGCAGTATTACAAACCACTCGACTGTCAGGGTCGTCTGTCTGTAAGGGAGCGGGGGCTCCACAGAGAGGGTTGCTGGGGTTGGTAATTATGAAGAGTGAACAGAGGGCAAGCCAACATCCCTCAACAACAGCTGAGCGAGACCATAACGACAACGATAGTCGAAGGAAGGACCCAACAGTTTGTCAACTCTAGTCGAGAAACGCACGAGAAATCAGGCAGGTTCCACTAGAGACGGCAGCGGGAAGAAGGAACGAGCAGCATCATGGAGAAAAGCGATAACTGCAGCTATTGGGGATGGCTTGGCTTATATGCTGTTGGGGAGGGAGTACGTGGCAGCTGGAGTGGCCACGATAGTGGTATCGAAGGACGAAGAACCGAAAAGTGAGGCCGTGATTTAACAAGGACAACGAGCACGATGAAAGAAATGTGTGGTTCAAAGACTAGATAACTATGAATACCTCCTACAACTCCTGTTCTCCAACGCGCTCCTCTTCCTTCGGTTTGTGGAATAACGACGCAACTCGAGACCGCTTGAACTTGCCCGGCACCTCCTTAAGCCTGCGGTAGCTTCCCTTGAGGCTCAGCGTGGAGAGCTTGCCCGTGAGCTTAAGTGTCTACCCCTCGCCATGGTCAGTGCCCTTGTCCTTGTCCGTACTGATACTCATCTTCTGCTTTGCCTTCTCTCTTCCCTCCGGCATCCCCTTCTGCTCCTCGTAGCCATCGTCATGCTTGCTCTGCTCCTCGTGGCCATCGTGGCCATCGTCATGCTTGCTCTGCTGCATTAGTAGACGTTCCTCCTTCTCCTCCTTAAGACCACCAATCCCGCTGCCCGTCTTGGTATGTTGGCTGACCTGAATACTATCTGTACGTAGCGCTGGGAGTATGGTGTTGGAGCATGACTTCTAGTCGTCCTCGCACTCGGTGGCGACCAGCGAATCCCTGGTGTGGTATGTTTTTTTGCTCTTTTTTTCTTTGTTTACATGCTTCATAGTTGAGATAGCTACAAAGTGCCTTTCTCGGAAAGGTTGGTTCACCGAATGACGGATGATGACAACAAAATTTAGATGACGCAAACCCCTTGAGGCTTGACTCCATTTTACACTTCATATAGCACCCTGGGATCATGTTACCTACGTGGCAGCTATGTACAATTTGATGTTAGATGCCTGCCTATCCACCTTGACAGTGCTTGGAGGTAGGCTGCTGTAGTATGCGTATTCCTTTCGGCATATTCTTGCCGGCTGCGAGGGAGATGATAGCGTAGACATAAAGTCAAGACGAATCTTCCCTTGGTCCTCTTTTCGAAGCCAGCTACAAGTAGCTTTAGTCCTCCAGGCCGTATATCGCTCGCACGATATCCCAATGCCAGCCGGCAGTGCCATCATCCATTGCATGCAGATCGCGCAGCCAGTCCAGATACAAGCCAACGGTCTCGCCGGCGTCCATCTCGAATCGCTCACCGCAGAGGGTAGATCGGATGCGTATCAGGATAGGTACCGTGGTGCTAAGGTGCAACAGCACAAGAATGCCAAACAGGTTACGGGTAAAGAAGAAGTTGCACGGGATGAGGCGCTTATGGGTGCACGTAGGCGACATGGCGACAGGCCACTTGAGGCTGGCCTTGAGGCACTCTGCCACGCCCAACGCATCGTCGTGCGTTACCGCATCTGGGAAGTGCAGAGCCTTGTACATAAACGGTCTGTGCACTAGGTACTTTGTGTAGTAGTAACGTGTGCGTAGGAGTGCGACCTGGACATCGAGACCGAACGAATAGCGTACCGGCGGCGCATCTAGGTCCGTCGTGAACATAAGCGGCGCGGCTGGAACTGCTGAGGCAGCCAAGCCCGAAGACGAAGCACCACCTACTTGTTGCTGTTGTGCAGACGTTGATATCCCCGACGACGTACTGCTGCTGGGATCTGAGGAGTAAAGACTGTCACCGCCGTCGCCTCCGCCGATCCCGATGTACGTCTCCGAAATGGCATTGGGAAATGCACCGGGAGAATCTTCCTGCCACCGGAGCTGAGCTGGGAGCATCCCACGCCACTGGTCGAGCTGCAAGGTAAGTTGATGGATCATGTGTCGACTAACTCCCATCTCCCCACTAGCCGTGGTTGGGCTGAATGGGGTTGGTGTAGGCCCGCTTAACGGAAATGCAGATGCTGTGAAGGAAAGGAGCAGGAGCAATTAGAACCAACTTAGCACGCGCCGAAACGACTTGAACGAAGAAAAAGGCAAAAATGGATGCGGGACGTACTCTGACTTAAAACGCCGTGAAAGTTGACCACCAGCCGCCGCAAGACAATCTGAGATATAAGATACTCCTGGCAATGGGACTCCTGGTTGTTAATGTAATCAACATCAGAGTAAGAGGCACTAAAGTCTGGCAAGCCAACGACAGACTCTAGCTTATCTAGGCCGGTAAGTGACAGCCCGAGCTCCAGATTCATAGACCTGATGTAGATCGAGTCAGAAAATTCCAGATACGATTCCATTTGGGGGAGGGAAGGGAAATGTACGTTTCCATTATCGAGCAATGCCAAAATATCCGTCTGATCAAGTCCGCTCGGGGGGACGACAATTCGCCGGGGTTGCTAGGGGCTAGTTAGATCTCATTTTGTATACACGTTGAACGAGAGTTGCTTATCACCTGACCACCAGGGCCTGACATGCCAATGATGCAAAGGTTGTCATGCGCCAAAAGTCCTGACAGCTGTCAGCGACGATGGAGGGCGGGGCAAAGAGAAGGGAAATGCAGTAAAGAGAAAAAAGCCCTGCGGCTCATGAAGAAACATACCATAGTATGGAAGCAAGTCCCGTAATAGATGCTATACCTGGTAAATAATTGGGAAGACACGCTCCAATGGATTCCGGACTTACCTCGTCAGCGCAAAGATTTGTACGTTTTCGAGGCTACACTCTGTGAGGTTGAAGCCCATGCGCTTCCTCGCCTCGTTGAAATAATCCAGCCCCGGTGGCTCGTTCTTAGAGCCCCCCTTGACCCCACTAGACCGGCCATTGTGCACATGAACGGGAAGACCATCGGAGGCTGCAAGGGCAACTTCCCCCAGAGCAAACACGAGAAAGGCAATCGTCGAGGCCATGTTTTGGCTGAAGCCCTGGTTGAAGGCGGAGGGCACCATGTCGGACTCGAAGGATTGGCGGTCGAGAATGGGGAAGAAAAGGTTGAATGTGTCGAAGTAAGCCTTGCTCAGCCTCATCATTGTGTCCCAGTTCGGACCCGAGATAGATAAGGGTGTAGAGGCGGGCATGTTAACAGCAGGCAGTATAGCCAGAGACGCCAGAGAGGTGTTGACCAGGAGGCCTTGGCCAACCGGTGGGTGCAAACCGAGCATTGCTGCTGGCCCATCTCGCTCGATAGAGGACAGGTCAAGGTTGGGGACCTTGGGCTGCACGGCGGCGAGAAGCTGCTGCATGGCGGGCCAGGCCAGCATTTGATGGACCGACGAGACATATCTGTAGTTCTCGTCGCCTCCTGACGTGGGACTAGAGGGCTCAGGAAGATGAAACGGAGGGGTGGTAAGGATGCTGGACGTCGGAGCGAGCGTGCTTTCGTGTTGGTGCGGCGGGCCGTAAGCTGTTGTCGTTGACGACGGGTATTCTACCCGCATGCCTAGGCTGTCAATCTTGCCCTCGAGACTCTTGATCCTGTCCAGGATCTCAACCAAGGTCCGGTCCTTCCTGAAGCAAGGTCAACTCCCATCAACTACTGTGCTAGTCGAAATAAAAGGGGGGGAATAGGGGGAAAACGAGGCCTGGACCTACTTTGTTGGTTGAGGCTCGCGGTAGTTGCATTCGAGCCTGAACTTTTGACAGGTGCTACACTTAGGACGTTTCTCGTCGCATCTCTGCTTTCGACTGCGGCAGGTGTCGCAGGCCTAAGAGGATAGGAAGAGTCAGAGGGCTATCCGGGGGGGGGCCAGGGACATGGACGCGGAAAGGGGTAGAGACGGGAGGGGCTGGAGACAACGAGACTGACCTGAGCAGCAATGGCGCCCCTCTCCTTTCTCAGGCTAAAGCTCGACGCCAGAGCCGAGGGACTGGTGTATGACGCTTGACCGGCAGAGTCGGCGCTCATCTTCTCCTCCGGGCGGAGCAGGAATCCGAGGGGACGTCCGGGCAATTGTCAGCCAGCCCGGTTCAGGGGCACCCTACGAGTCCAGCGAAGTCGCTGTGTACGGTGTCGTGCACTCCTGGAATCGGACACATGGATAGGGGGTAGCGGAGGCCAAGGGAAAGCAGACCGAGGCCAGACGGTGTTTTGTTCAACAACGACGGGGTTATCGTCCCAGACATGGCAGAGTGCGTGGCGGCGGGGCGTGGCAGCAGATTATCCCGACGGCGGGGGGAGGGGAGCCTACAGACTCGGTGGAAGCCACGAGAAACACAAGGCAGCGGATCCGAGTGGCCAACCAGGGAGGAGACAGGGCAGCCGGCGAGGAGGGAAGCACGCGAGCGAGTCCGGGCGGGCAGGCGGGGGTGCCCAAAGGCCAGCCAAGATGCAATTCGTCGTATATGGTCTGGTCACCGAGAAAATTCCCGCGACCGGTCGAGCAGCGGGCAAGCAGTTGGCAATCGGCGGTAGCCAGTTGGAACCGGCCGCTGTCTGCTGGACGGCGCGTGAACAGCCTAGTTGAGCACGAGATCGGCCCTGTGGCGGTGGAGGTGTTCCTCGTCTCTTCCCAGTCGTTGTTGCGATGACGGCTGCCCGAGCAAGGAGTGCACCAGATGGGAAAGATGGAAGGGATGGGCACCGGGGTCTAGGGTGGGTGATCTGGTTGGGTCTTGCCCTAAGAAGGTAGGGAGTATGTAGGTGCTAGTAGAGTAAGGTAAGGTAGGTACAGTACTGCCCAGCGTGACGGTAACCTGGAAGGTACGAGCGGGAGTTAGGTAGCCCGGAAAGAAAGAGAGGGAGGGAGGGTATCCCGTATTGGGGGCAGCAGGAAGAACCATCTGAGCGAAATGAAGCGCCGCACGGCTCAGCACACACCATACAGCACACAGCGCGGAGCCCGTAACTGACAGCCCCAGCCGCCGACGGAAACACACAGACAGACACACACTTGCAGCAAGTGCAGGGCAGTCGTGGACCCCGCGAAGGCCCTTGGCTCTTGCCTGCTGGTGGGCTGTCGGGCAGGCGCGGTCGAACGGTCGTGGCCTTGGAAGGAGCGGCAGGCTGCTACGTCATCGAGCATGACGCGTGAGATGCCGAATCGAGGTCCCCGGTTGCTTGGCCAGTCAAAAGGCAGGAGCGAGTGTCACCCCAGACTGTCCTTTTGGACTAGGAAAACGCTTGGCCTCGCCATCAGGGCCCGTGTGCTAGGATCAGGAGTTAGGGGTACCTGCCAATTTCAACAACGACGGGACGCAGACGCGCTGCCATCGCGCGCCGTGCGTTGCATCTCGAAATTGACATCGTTCGGTCCAAAAAAGCCAAAGCCCGTCACGTCACCTCTCTTTGTTCACAACTCTCGGCCCTGACGCGACGGGTTTCAGCCTCAGATTGTCTGTGATTTGCGTGGCTTTTTTCCCCTCTGGGACCCAGCATGCCGATCGTTGCTCGATGCGGGAAGGCACATTTCGATACGTCCACATCGATAATACAGAAAAACCACAGTATTTCCATTTCCGCATACAGGCGCTTGTCGTCTCAAGTTGTTGGACCGGCCCACTCGGCATCGGCGGAGCTAGCGCAAGCAGGGTTTATTCTGCGGCACTGTCATTGGTTGCTCAGCCCCACCATATCCCGTACACAAACCCCTTATCTTATCAATCTATGCCATATCTTCCCGTCCAAGACATTCACATTACTTGGACGTTGTAAATCAGCTTCGGATCTTTTACCTGCCATAGAGCAGCGTAGGAACTTATATTATATGTCGGCCTCGGCTGTGCGGTTCATGACCGTTTTGCAAACAATCACTGAGTTTGAGTTGTATATTTGCTCCTCTTCTTGGTAATTAGGGCGTAGTCATCGCGACTTGTTTTCCGAAATTAGTTTGATATGATCCCCAGAATTAGTTACGTAGTCAATCATATCAGCTTATGACGGAAATTCTATATAAGCGCTTCAATTCCAAAACTTGTATGATTCCAAAGCTCCATCTAAGCGGCACTAACACGACAATCCCACAATCGCCATTACCCATCCCATGATCACGTATAAGCGGCAGCTGACGTAGACCGGTGTACTTCTCAGACTGATAATTTTGGTTTTCATGACGTTGCTCTGCCACTGCTGTAAATGACAAGAGATTGTGATGGCCATTACCTAGCTACCTGCGCCTCCAACAATTCCCTCGTTCATCCAATCCCGGAAGAATGATAACTTCTTCCCGTCCGGAAACCGTACATAATCAAAAAGAAAGCCAGCTGCCAATTGCTTCAACGAGCCCGATACGAACGTGCGATTACAACTAGATAGGTACCTATGTACCTAGACAGGTGCAAGCTGGCGCTCGTAACGTGAGAAACCCATGACAAAGCCAGGAGGAAAAATAGCACGTGATATAGTCAAGCACCGAGTTCCCATCTGGAACCCGACGACGTTAGGAGGTGTACATCTGGATGAAGGGCTCTCCCCGTTAAATAAAAAGCCGATTCACAGGTGCATGATTTCGTGAGCCATACGAGCCCGAATAAATACCCCCGAGCCCCGACTCCTGTGACCCGTGTTGTTATTATTCAACCTTTATAATTAGCAACGTGCCGGTGGGGGCGTGGATATGGGAAACATTGTGCCTCCTCAGATTGCTTGTCCTGCGTGGCCAGTAATTATCGACGGTCCTACCTTTTGAGGCGCGGAACACCCAAATCGCGAGGCGGAGACTTTGTATTGAGTAGTGTACTGAGTAATAATTGTTTGCCTGTCATCGGTAACAGCCCCACAATTCCCGCAAATAATGCCCGAAATAGACATTTCAAGAATTTCTTGCTTATCTAGTTCTAGCTCTTGCTTTTGGTTACATCTTACGTGATGGAAACCGCCCACGAACTCTGGCGTCTTTCTTTCTTTGTTGAGTTAGACTATTATTTGCGGCGTCCCTCGAGCCGCGCTCGCGTTTCAACATCATCTCGTGGAATTTCTCAATAAATAACCCCGGGGCCCGGCAGATTGGTGACTTGTTCAAACAAACAGCTGCGCGTATCACATCAGCCACCGTCAGTTGTCTCGATGTCGCTTGTCAGATAACTTTGAGAGGATCAAGCAATCATGCAATATCACTTCTGCGAGCCGAGGGATTGCCACGCTAGGGTATTGAGAGCAGCAGTATGTTCATATGACACAATGAGAATAGAAAGCTATAGACATGTCTGTCAGAACCCCAGTTCGAGATGCATGCCCCAAGCCTCTTCCGATTCGCTAATTGCACCTCCGCCAGGCGACCGAGACGTTGACCGTGATCTTGCCGCTGATGCGATCGACCTGTTTGAGGAGGTGGTAAAATTCACCATCAGCATCGAGCGTACGGTTGACCCGCGGCATCGAGAAGCACCAGACGACGGGCGAGACAAAATTAAAGGCAAAAAAAAAAAGGGGGGGGCGGGGGGCAAGGGGAGCTCACCGCAATCAGCGCCTGCTGCTGCGTCGGCGAGATGTTGCACTGCGTATTCATGTTCATGATGGCCGTGGTGCCGCCGCACTGCGACCAGCTAGTGGCGTCCGTGTCCGAGTGCAGTGTGAAGGGGCCCTCGCGCGCGCCGTCGAGGCGCGTCGAGAAGGCCGTCTGCCCCTGCACGCCCGTGAAGTCGAACGTGTTGGAGCACGTGCCGTGCGAGCCCGCGGGGATCTGCGCGAACCCCGTCATGTCCGTGGCCATGGTGGCGAACCTGGCAGGTAGGTCAGTACAGTACCTACCTGACAACTCAGAGGCAGGCAGGGGGGGGGGGAGAAAAGACAACGCACTGGAAGCCCTCGTCGAACCCCAGGTTGAGCGTCAGCTTGCAGTTCTTGCGCCAGTCGGCGGCCATGGTACCCGGCCCCGTCTGCACAATGTAGCTGGAGAAGGTGACTTCCATCAGCGTCTTGGTGCCGTCGATCTGCACGTCGGCACTGCCGGCCGGGCAGCCCGACCCCAGCAGCGACACGCCGAGCACCCGGACTGTCTGGGGCACATTCTGCGGCACGATGAGTCCGGCGGCGACTGCCGTGCACAGGCCGAGGGTTGCTAGGAAGCGCATTGTTGCTGTGTGTTGGAGGGGTATCGAAGTGTTGCAAGATGGGTATTTGTGGCGGATCCAAGGAGATCTGAGACCTTATTAGGCGCGATACGGTACGAGATGGGCAGGCCTGATTTATATGAATTTCTGCCTCGTCTCAAGAGTGAAGAGTGTATTTTCCCCTTGCTCTGGATCGTTTAGGTCCCCATTTTTGAATTCTACTAAAAATACCCCTTGGTTAGGCTCGATCTGTTGATTCAATCAACTATGATAGCTGACCAGCTAAATGACTTCAATTTGAGAACATGAAATACTCATATAAGAGCCCCATTTCCTTCAAATGAGAGCAAATGAATCAAGCTCTGAAAACTGCTCAGGACAACGTAGCATCCGAGCGAAAGGACCGCTCACAAAGTGGACTGAGAGGTAATCATGCCAAGGTTGCATCGAAGGCTGAGGGACCTTCAGGAGAAATATTGGCGGCCTTGGACCCATCTCGCAGTGCAGCGTCGCTATCGCGGTGCCTGTCGATGCTCGATGTGCCGACGGCGAGGCGTCCTCGGCGAGGTTGCACTCTCCTGCAAGGCCAACAGCTGGTCTACCAATGTCATGTTACAACTGGGGCACCAGTCTATATCTATATATAATTAGACACATCACATAAAAGTGTTGGCGTCCAAAGGGCCCTCCGTTTTGGCGGTGAGGCCCCAAGGTAATGTTTAGCCGCGACGAGCCGCGAATCGCAGGGCGTCCCGGGCCCGTCCAGTCAGCTCGCGCCGCCTCGCTGCACATAGCCTCAAGCCAGCTTGCATGGCGCTACCTCTGCAGGGATGCCGCTGTGCAACTCGACCCTCGATGCCCGTGGATAGTGCCAAGACGCGGAGCCGAGCCCTGGCCTGGCCGCCCTCGGTGCACGTAGTCGAGTATTGCCGATTTACGACGTGCGTCTTGGCCGTGTGTGAGCTGTCAGGCCCTAACCCGGAGACATTACCCAGCCGGAATATCGTCGCATGCACGCGGTGCTGGAAATGGGGTAAGTAGCTCTGGTTGGCGTTTCACAGCATTTCTAGCTTCGGCCTGGATGCCAATGATATAGGCCCATGACCAGTGAATAGATTCACTAGTCAGGGAAACATATTCGGGTAGTGCGGCACTGCCATATCGCCTGCAAACAGCTAGTTAGCCCATGCCATGAAATTTTTTATTCAATTGGTCGATTGGCTTGAAGGTCTTTATTATATTTGAGGTAGGCGGCGAATGGGGACGGAGATCGAGGCATTTACTGGCGGTGCCAGTTTTCATAGCCGCAGTGAGCATAATTAAATCCTTGGCGCGATACGAAACTGCCGGTCTTCCCCTCGACTTGACTGCAGCTGGTATATGAGGGTGTCTCTGATTTAGCGAGAGATGGGGAGACGGTGAGTTTGAGTACTAAAACTATGTAGTAGTTCCGGTTGAAGCTGTCCTAGGGGTGTCCTGAAATTTATATTAAGAAGTGGATTTTGTAAAAAAAATTTACCTGGAACTTGTAGTTTGTTGCGGCTCTACCGTCGTTGCAATGGCTTACACTGACAACTTGAAATGGCCGAGCAGGGTGTGAGATTCGTTGGATGGTGGAGGACCGAAACTCGGCGTAAGGGACCGTCCCTGTTCGTGTCTCTCTGTTAATGTATGTACCTGTAATGCTAATAAAGCCCTACTACCCTGATCCCCATTATATGAAATTCTTTTCCCAACCTCAACCAAGACGCATATAAAAAAAAAGAAACACCCGGTATGTCCGAAATTAGGCGTAATGAACCCCTTTCCGAGGCCGCCGAATCACCTGCCCAGCCGTGCCAAACCTAAGATGCCCCACGGCGTCGTTGCCCCGAAAGTCGGCAGCGAACTGGGCGTGCTACTCGGCCGGCATGGGCCCGACCTCGCCCCACCGGAGCTTCTGTCTGGTTAGTTGCACGCGGCGGAGGCGCGCTCTAGTTTCGGCGTCGGCGAAAACGAATGCTGTGTGGAGTGGCATGTTACTTACCCCCTTCAATGACAAATACGTAAAACCGTACTAAGTACTTCGAATATTTTTCTATAATCAGTAATAAACTTTATAAGCGTTAACTTGCTGGAACTAGCCTTAGCGATCACCTCCAGGCCGCTTTTAGCTAGAGATAGAGCCGAGATTCCTTATTCGATGACCTTGATAGCGTCGATAAGAGGTCCCGTGCCCTTCTTCCCCGTACCGTGTGAAAGGGGCGGCGCTATATTCTGTAGCTGTGTAGTAAGCTTGTTAAAGTTTACGGCCTAGTCTAACCTTAGCTTAGCCCCCTCGTCTCGTAGTATTCAAAGAAAGCGCCCTCCGAGGACCAATTGTTGTGATATGGAATAAGTGGCACGGAAGACTTAATGCAGCCTAAGGCTTGGATTTGAGTCGCTCGCAGACATTGGAGGGATACGCCCAGGCTCCACAACAGCCAATGCACGACAAATTGGCGAATATGGAGATCCTAGTGAGCAGTGGCAATATCTATTCCACCAATTTTCAGCTTGATCTGCCCCGGGGTGAGTGCAGAACGGGCCTAAAGAAGTCAAAAACGGCTTCCGCCGCACGCTGCTGCTGTTTGGGCACCATCGTTTGACGAAGCTGGAATCCGCCATCCTTTATGCCATTCCATTATCATTCCTGTCAAGACCCTGAAGGGAGCTTGGAGGACGCACCCGAAGCTTTAGAAACGGTTGTAGAAGAGAGGCGTGCTAAGCTTGGGGATCTACGTGCCTTGACTCTTGAATCCAAATACGAGCTCGCATTGGTTGCAAGAGAGAGACGACGGCTTTAAAAGTCTTGCGAAAATAAGCACGTGCTTTCGTGATGCGCGGGAAAGGAAGTAGAAATTATTCGGGGCTCATCATCCCGAGGTCATCGCCGCTGAGAGGGGTAATACGGTGGCTGGCAGGGCACAGCATCGGTTCACCAACTTTTCCCTGTGATGATTTTATGATCATTGATTTCAGGGATTAAGGTTTTATTGGATACATCTTTTATTCGCCTTGTTTTTTATTACCTCGCTAGTTCAAACTATCAAGACTGAAGAGACAAAAATGGACCACAATACAACGGGAGACAAGAAAACAAGAAAACAAACGACAATTGATTATGTGATGACAAACTACGGTTATTACTCCTAGAAGTTAGAAACCCCAGAAAAGGTATTAAGTATTACTATCTTTCTGGGAAAAGAGGAGGACCTCAGAGAGGAGCTATGGGTTGGGATTCAGCGTAGGCGTACGGCGTATTGTCATGCCTTTAAATAACTGTACACTTTACAAGCCTGTTGCTAGCATGCTGATTCTGATCACCAATTGTTTGATCATATCTACCAATCATGAAATATCAGTATCATGTTTAAATATTCCTATCATTGATTTCCCCCGTGGAGCTGAAGTTGATAACCAATAGTGGCTTCCAAAGAAGAGAAACCCAAGTTCTCCATCCATCACTTAGACTTCAGTCGATCCCAGATCCCATATCTCTCCAGCATCTGCTTGCGAAAAAGGTCTGGCCGCGTGATAACGATTCCATCAGCCCCTCTACGCTCGGCAACCACGGTGTCAAAAGATAAGCAGCACGTGGTGGCGGGCTTGGAGCTGGGACGACACTTAGACTGCTGGGAGCCCGGCCTCACCCTGGGTCGGTCGGTAAACCGGGCAAACGTTAAATAAGATGAAAGCATTAAGAAGCCAATTGGACCTGTCCCCCCTCTATAAAAAAGGTCGAGTTTGTTGAGCAATGAGTGAGCCATCTCTCTACCCTGAGGAGATGATGGAGCATATGGACACCAAATGGTTTGCTGTTTACTCCGCTTGTCTAGTAGCTAGTTGAGGTAGGTACGTTTCACTTCAGCGTTTGCTATCACGTTCAGTCTTATATAGACTTCATATCTCCCTCAAAAGCCCGCAAGGCCAATGGTGGAAAAGGGTATTATTCTTGGGACGTAGGTCGAACTTGAACGAGCAAACGATTTGAAAATATAAAAAAAATGGGTCAAAGTTCGTTATGTTCGAAGTATCCGACAGATTCCATTTGCTTGCAGACTCCCATCTTACAAAAATACCTAGCGGAATGGTTTTTGATCGTCACGCCGCTTCCGTGCTACACGCAAGCCCGGGGCAAAATGGATCGAGAGTTGTGACATTACTCTCTTCAAGCAGCGCGTACTCAGCCGCGGAGAGAAGGCCGACGCGATGGAGATCGACGAGCACAATCAGAAGATCAAGGCAGAGTTGAAGAATGCCGATGAGCGGCGTGCCCAGGAGCAAGCTCTACAAGAATTTGAATGTCTTTAAAAACTATATTTGAAACTTGGAAGTTAGACGTTACAGAACTCAACGGTTATGCGCAAAGCTCAACGGCTATACGCAGAACTCAACGGTCAGCCGGGGGGCCCTTGAGCCGGTTGAAACCAAACCTTATAACCCAGGCTCCCTATATATTGGGCTATCCCCTACCCCCAAGTCCATCCCACCCTCGAAGCATTCACGTCTTCAAGCATTCCAAGCAAGCACTCTGAGCAAGTCTTTTGGATAACCTTTCCGAACAGCACTTACTCCAACGACTCCAAATTTCCAGTCATCTGAACTTCAGCACTTGTTCTCTGAACAATACGACATCCAAAGACTCTGCATTTCTCGGTGACAGGGATTCTATCCTTCTTCATCCTCAACCGGTCGCCCCCAGGACTTGTCCACACACATCTCTTCCTCTTTCTCGCCCACAAACTTCACTCCAGCACAACGCTCATTGCCGGGTAGCCACTTCTCAAACTTTCCTAGTCATCTACCAATTCCTTCCTCCATCACCAAAATGGCTGGATCTCGCCGCTCGTCGGCTAGAAAGAACTCGCGCGCCACCGCACCTCCTGCCACACCCGCCGCTGCCACCCCGGGCCCCAGGCCCTTTTTCGACCCCTCAGGCCCAGAGTCTCGCGTCGTCAACGAGATGCCGGCCGGTGCCAAGGGCTTGGTGGCATCGCGCTGGGCAACCCCCAGCACTGCTCCTCAGCAGACGGCCGCTCCGGCCCCCGCCTACGCCACCGTAGTGGACCCGGCAACGCCCTTTCTCGAACCCTCTGGCCAACAGTTTCGGGTCGTCAACGACATGCCTGCCAGCGCCAACGGCCTGGCAGCATCACGCTGGGCAACGCCCAGCAACGGCACGCAGACCGCCGCTCCCACCATTACCCCGGCCGCCATCACCCTCGCTGCCATCACCCCCGTCGCCATCACCCCCGCTGCCATCACCCCCGCCGCCGCCCAAGCGACGCCCTTTCTTTTACGACCGGGCCTCCAGGCTCATTTCATCAACCAAATGCCGGCCGATGCCAAAGGCCTGGCGGCATCCCGCTGGGCTTAGATGGAGAACTTGCTTGGCTTCGGGGGATCAGGGAGTTTGGGATCAGGGAATCAGGGGATTAGGGAATCATAGGATCAAGGAGTCAGGGAATGGCATGTACATTGAGACCATCACGCTTTCGGAAAGGCGTTGGGAATTGGGATTTGAGTTGCCGGTTCAGCAGGTACATCACCAATGCATCAACATGTCGTGCCAGCGATTTCTCTACGTTTTCGTGATTTTATAAATTTAATCTAAATGTGATTCTAAGAGCCACCTTGAGGGAGTTCGCAAGACGTAAGTCACTTTCGGGAAGGTGATCTTGGTATGGTGCCAAGATAGATGGTTACCGGGTTCAAAACCCAATCGAGATGTTGTTAACGGATTTGACTACAGAATGGAGAGCGTTCGGGCAAGTGCCGATTCAATTCCATTCAATTGTCGTGTAAGAAACCCGAAAATGGAAGGAGTGCTGGAGTCGAAATAAAGTTCAGACTGTGGCCCCTGCACTACTTATCGACCTTCCCGCATATTTGAATCGAGGTTTGACTGGAGGGAACGTTGCCCTGGTCTCTCTTTCGCATGGATGGATGGGTACCTGAGGCGACGATTTTAGAACCTCCTTGTCCGCTCTTTTTCTTCGTGATACATCACCAACCGTGATTGGTCAAGAAACCTAAATGCGGCCCCATCCGTCCTGCAGCGTCCATGGCGGCTATCCGGCGTGGCCGAGCACGTTAAAGGCCATTGATTCACCGATTTCCCCAAACCGGCCGAACACCATGGCCGCACACCATGGCCGCCGTGCTTCCCCCCCGCTCCCTCCCCCGCTCCCACGATTGAACTAATTGCAGTCTGCAGTTCCCCGAGCCTGCACTGCGCTGCAGAACCTGTCGCGATCCGCAACTCAGCCAACGTGACTCACTGGGGCCTGGCCTACAGCCTTGCCAGAGGTATTACGCAGTGGTAGTTGCCTTGAGCTACCGACGCCATGCATATTCGTATCAGCAAAACGCGTGCAAACGAGAAGGCTCTGCCCCTCCGTCTTGCCATGGCAAGCTGCGAGGCTGGCCCTGTGCGACCTTTGACAGGTGGTAAACCTGCCAGTGCCCGAGACAGGTCGAACACTTGAGAAACGCCACCGATCCTTTGGCCCATCGGCTACAGCATATCGATTGGGCATAGATCAGCATGCGGCATATTCCTATCGAGTCACTCACCCGCCATGCGCCGCACAAAGCTGGACTCGGCGGCTTACATGGCACTGTCTAGACACTTCTCTGGCAAAATTACAATTACCATTCATGGCCTCGATTGGCTGGCCGTTTCATCGGCAGCACTCTGAGAACATGCCACTCCCAGCCGCGGCAGAGCCTCAGTGGGCCGGCCCCCCTCCTCCATAAGAAGGGACTTATCCCCCACGATTCTTGGCGTAGGCTGTGCTAAAACTGCCGGTTCATACATGCTTGGAATTCACACCCAATTATCTTAGTTGGCCATCTTAGTTGGCCCTGCTCCAATTACTACTCCAAGCCTCGAAATGGCCAAGGCCGCCTTTTTGACACTGACCATCCGCAACCTCCCCCGAGGCACCACCGATGAGGATGTCCGCAACCATATTAACCAGCGCTATTCAAATGCCCAGCCCGTCGTCGGCCCCATCGTGGGCGATTCCTTGAGACCTGGCATGGTCTACACTACCGTCACTGTTCGCCAAGACAGCGACGATAAGTGTAGGGCACTGAGAGACGGCCTGAACCTCAAGTCCTTCTGGCCCCGACTTCCAGAGCCCGGGGCGGATAGCGAGGCCAAGATCGCAGTCAACGATGAGTTTCTCGGCGTTACCACCATTGCCGAGCATGAAAATCCCCAGTTTGAGTAAGCTTGGCCCCCTCCCCAGATTGTTTGTGATGCAGGGATGGCCCATTTCTTACACACACACACACACAGCCTATACTTCATTCATGGGCTCGGTGGTCATGCCTTCAGGTCCTGGAGTACCGACAAGGACTTTCCACGCATGTGGCCCAGAGACTTCTTCCCCAACGATGTTCGGGACAAACCCCTGAACCCTAATGACCCCCAAGGCCCCAAGCTTGCGGGGCGCTTCTCAACCATTGGCTACCGGGCGAGTGCATTCAACACTTGGTCCGCTACAACCACCATCGAGAAAACGGCCGAGAATCTCCTCGCCGCCATCATGGCTGATCGGCCTCAGGTACAGCGCCTGCGCCCCCTGACTGCACACTGGGTTCGTTCTGACGTCTCCTAATAGGGCACCACTCGTCCAATGTACTTTGCGGCTCACAGTCTTGGTGGACTCCTAACCTGTCAGGTGTGTGCCTGTCCCCTACCAAAGTACCAACCCTGTCGTGCGTGACTGACAAGATGATAGGCAATTATACGGGCCCTGCACAACAAGGCCGATAAATCTGAGCTGCAAGAGACATACCGCGAAATCTTCATCCAGAACGGCGAGATCTTGGTTAAAGGGATCTTCTTTTTTGGCACACCTTTTGTGAGTTGTCTATTCCACACCCCTCCGCTCAAATTGCAAGTGTCAAGGTCCCATCGAACGCCTTCTCTTGAGATTCGCTGGGCTGATTACGCGGAAAATAGGAGGGTTCCAGCCTGGCCAACTACAGCTCCAAGATTGTTAAATTCCTTCGTGGCAACGAAGCCCTTATCGACAGCCTGAAAGTCCGTTCCGAGGAGCTAGCCACGATCGTGGCAAAGTTCAACCAGCTTCGAAGCAACGAGGAAACCAAAATACCGATTCTGATTTCCTATGAGATGCAGCCCATGTATAGCGTCAAGTTTGTACGTTCAGTGATTCCTTGAGCCACAGTCTTCTTCCACGTGTTCGCAGCCTCGTGCCAAAACCTCTGCTAATACCAGACTTCACAGGTGACACTTCCTGATTCAGCCACTAGCACATTCAACGCGCTGTCTCTGGGGATTGACGGGGATCACAGAACAATGATCAGGTTTCAACATAACCAAGAAGAGAGCTATCGAAAGGTGTCACAGCACATGATTCGGATGATACAATCATCCTTGTCGGGATCCAACACTATTCCCTCCATGGCCCCCGGAAGCCCTCCAGCTCGGTTCAATCCGAGCCCACTACTCAGATCCCAGACCGTCGGCTCTACTCAGTCACTTCCGCCGTATCCAGGTCTATTTTCCCCAGGGCTATCTCCAGGGCTCTCCCCAGGGCTGTCCCCGGGAGTATCACCGGGGCTCTGGCAATCTCAATACGCTGACCCCCGATCCTCGACGTCCAGCTCTATAGGATTAGGGAGTGCAGTGACGCCAGCCTCATCATTGATGTCCCTCCCCGTCTACCCCTCGCCTGATTCAAAAGCAATTGATCCGTTGGTCAATAATCCATTTGCAAGAGCCCACTCCCCCGTTGCGCCCGTCAGCATGAACGACTTCGTCCAAGCCGGGCCACAAGGTAAAGAAGACAAGAATGAGTTCGCCATGTTGAGACAGTTTGATACCGTCTTCTTGCTCGACGATACGGGATCCATGTCCGAGCAAGATGACAATGGAAAGTCCAAGTGGGACGAACTCATCCAGAGCCTCCAGTACATCGTCGACATCGTCTGCCGTTACGACAAGGACGGTATCGATGTTCACTTTTTTATCAACGATGAGAAAGATGAGCACAACATTACCGATGGGCAGAGAATTCTGGATCTGCTTACCAAAGAGGTTGCCCCCGACGAGGGCGGCGGCGGGACTTACATATCCCAGCAGCTCTGGGTCATCTTGACGACTTATCTGGAAAGGTTCGAGGACTACAAGAAGAGGCTCAACGAGAAGCCGCGGCCAGAGAGGCCCAAGATGCTGAACCTAGTCATCATCACGGACGGAGCCGCAGACGACAAGGAAGAAGTCGAGGATGTCATTGTCGAAGCTGCAAAGACACTGGACAGACTCCGTGCGCCTCCCAATCAGCTCGGCATCCAATTTCTGCAGATTGGCAAGGACGACGACGCCGCAAGGTGGCTTAATCTCCTAGACGACGCTCTCAAAGACAAGCACCGCATTCGAGATGTAAGTGGAGTTCCCGTATGGTTGGGCCTGTGGGGTTGTGACTGATGCTGATTTTCGAACTCAGATTGTGGACACACGTCCTTGGGACAGCCCCAAGGAAATGAACAAGTCGCTGCAAGACAGGCTGGCACAAATCCTGCTCGGCGGCATCTCTCGAGCAAGGGATAAAGCAGAGACAGCTACCATGTCGTGATAGCTAGCACCACTCGAGCGTGCCACATATAATTGCGGAGCAGCCGTTTGAGACAAGGAGTGGGCCGGTGGAACGGGCGGTGGAGATGCTTAATTTGCTTTGAGACTTGTTTTCCCTAACATGCTTGAAGACCCCTCTTCAATGATAAGGTCCTCAATTCAAATCTGACTGTGGACATTGTTACTTTTGCCCGATGTCGTTTGTTGACATGCTTTTTGCTGCCTTTATTTTTTTGGTCCTCGACCTCGAAACTGACTGGTAAGACGGCATCAGATTGTGGTTGTTTGGTCAGAGGCACCCCCCCTGAAATCAAGCCTTGGTCAACAAAGTCTCGACCCCAAGCTCCAGGAACACCACCTTGTCCAAAATCCCGCCCTTCTCGAACGCCGCCACCATATCAGCCTTGTCCTCAGCAAAGTGCTGCCACGCCTCAAAGTGCATCGGCACGAGCAAATCCGCCCCCACATCTTCAAACAACTGCACCCCCTGTGCGCCGTCCATGGTGATCTGCAGCCGCCCCACCGACGCCTTGCCCAGGTTCAGCAGCGCGGCCGCCACGTGCCACCTCGCACGAATCTCGGGCCCCAGCGAGGCGACGTGTACCGTGTCGCCCGAGAAGTAGAGCGCGTTGGGCAGGTTGGTGGGTGAGTGCGTGCCGAAGGATGGCGAGGAGATGACGAAGCCGATGCATTCGCCTCCTGGTAGGTGCTGGCATGGGGTGGCCGTGATGCTGAATTCGCGGCCGCCGATGGTGAGGGTTGCTGTTTTCCTGTTTTTTGTGTGGTTAACAATGATTGTTGGCCGCTTGACCGACCAGACAGGCCGTCGAATGTCTGCAGGAAGGTTACCAGTCTTTCAGTCCGCGCACGCCCGGCCGCGGGCCCAGCTTGCGCGCGCCGTCGGGCGTGGTAAAGACGCGGCGGCCGTCGAGCAGCTGGCGGCCGGGCTCGTCCAGGTTGTCCGGGTGGTCCTCGTGGCTGAGCAGCACGGCGTCGATGGGCGGCAGGCTGGCGAGCCCGTAGGCCGGGCTCTTGGTCTGCGTCAGCTTGAGGCCGCCCACGTCCCTGCGGTCTGGATGTTAGTTTTCTGCCTGTTGGGTAGGTACTATGGGTAGGTAATATAGGTAGGTAAGGTGCACACCATTCAGTTCCCCCGGGCGAAAAGACGGGGTCCGTCAGGAAGTTGACGCCGTCGATGTGGATAATGGCCGTGGCGGTGCCGATGTAGGTGATGCTCACGGGGACGCCAAAGTCGATGCGGGGAGCCATGGCGGTGGAGAGGGGAGAAGATAGATAAATGTTTGCTTTGGGTTTGATAAGTGAGTCGGGACTAAATAGCACGAGAATCAGGCGCGGCGTTTTGATTTGATCTGTTTTCTTTGTAGAATGTCGATCGCAGTCGGGCCTGTAGATTTGGGGCTTCATCTTTATGCAAGTTTCTCGCAGCCGCCGGCTTTTCAATTCGGCATTAATAATAGTTTCTACTCTCGTAATCACAATCAGCTTATCATGAAAAGTCACATAATGGCGTCTGCAGCGAGCTTTCCAATTTGGCCGAGAATTATCAACATTGAACACAACCAATGTCACGCCGTTTTCCAAGCGCCCCCTGTAGCCAATGGCTGGAGCCCTACCGGAATATGGCACCGCATCCGGTTAGGTCGGGATGACTTGTCCCCCTCGATGGCTGCAAGGGCGGGAAGGTGCGTCAGCTAGGGCTGCTTCCCATTTGGTCTCCCCTCACGGCTCTCGCTGCCCTCGGAACTCTGGACTTTATCCGTTCTTGGAAACGAAGACATCTCTGCACGGTCTTCAACATTACTGACCCCCTCGTCCGGTCCTTAGCGCGCGCCGCTAGGAGACTCTGTCTTTAAGTATCACTCCGCCGTTCGGAGCTCGATTGGCGATGACAATCGATGACAGCAAAGTCGGACAGATAATTCCGGACTCGCCTGAACGCCATGAAGGTTAAGCAGAGAAAAATATGCCAAACATGCAGAAAGCTGAAGATACGAGTGGGTACCTGACCTAGTTGCTCCCCGGCAAATGTCTTTGCTTCAGCGGCTCATGTCTTTGTAGTGTGATGCGAAACAGCCATCTTGTTCTCAATGCAGCGTTCGCGGCTTCTGTTGCCCGGGCTACTCGTCCGAATGGATCTTTGTCCCGCAAAAGACTCGGAACAGCCGTCGGACCGACCTAGCTGACAAGCAAGTCCACAATCCCTTTTGTCCAGAGAGGCTAGTGGCGCCGCAAGTTTGCCATCTCAGGCAAGGCAGCCAAGGTGAAAAAGGCCAGGCTGTCGTTCAGAAATTAGCCATACGCCCTCTCTTGCCAGTCCCTCTCGACCATCTCACCACCTTGATAATCCGAAATTATGTGCCCGGGCCGCAACTCTCCTCGCCCCGCCACAGCAGCACCGACTGGCAGTCTCCGGCTCGAATCTGCGGCGCTTGGGTGGAGGCGCTTCCTGATCTCATCAGCAACAGAACCGATGCGGCCCTCGACGCAGCAGTCAAGGCATTTGCCTTGTCAATCCTAGCCGGGGGCCCAACGCGAAGTGTCCCAATACCCGCAGGTCTCGAGGCTTATGGGTTGGCACTTCAATCTCTCCGGACTGCCCTTCGGTCCAGTACTCTGCGTTGCCCAGAACAGCTCGCCGCTGCCATCATGTGCTTGCTCCTGGCCGAGATCTTCTTGCCGACGTCCTTGGATGCTCGGGCGGCCCATCTGCAGGGGTTCGGGGAGCTGATGCGGCTATCTGGCCCCGAGCTTTACGCGTCGGGCGTTCCCCATAAGCTGTTTGTCGGGGCAAGGCCGTCTTTAGTAAGTCGGACCAGCTGTTGCATAATTTGACTATGCCTTGCCAATGCCAAGCTTGGTTGACACGCGTCTTTGACAGGTCATCATGGGGATCCACTCACGGAAAGCCTCATTTCTCGCAGCACCGGAGTGGATACATGTGCCGTTTGGAAAAACAGCGCCCTCGGCGATGCAGCAACTCATGAGTGAAGGCGCTATGATACCATCAATATTCGAAATAGTAGACAAAGCCGCCGGAGCTCCAGGGTCGGCAATACCTGCTGCAAGAGAGGCGATCCATAGATTTAAGGCGCTGCTCGACCGCTTGAGGCAGTGGGAAGAAAGATTTCAGCCCATCACACGGCCACCTAGCATGTCTTGGGTCAAGCCGGCTACCGGTCCATACGACAAACCTTGGATATGGTTTCGGAGCATCACAGATGCTAACGCACTGACGAATTTATGGGCGTTCAAGACCATCTGCCTCACAAACGTGGAAATGCTGACAACCTCTTTCCCCGATCTAGTCCTCGAGGACGAGTTTTCGAGACACGGCATCTCCAAAACATCTCTCATGCAAGAGGCCGTACACCTGGCGACGATGATCTGCCAGAGCGTCGGCTATCTCATGCAAGGCGAGATGAAGCTGTTTGGACCCACGTCGGTCCTGTTCCCGCTCCGAACAGCCCACGATACCTTCCGTGAGGGCGGCTCTCGCACTACCAAAGAGCTGAGTTGGTTCAACGAGATTCTGGTGAGCATATACGGCCGGGATGAATGTATTCCGCTGTTTTTCACGTCGTTTCGAAACTCTTTGCGCGGATGTGAGACATCGCAGGGCTAGGGTTCACTATTAGTTGCAATTCAGCTGTAATTAATCACGGAATAAGAGTGTTGAAAACCTGAAGGTCGAGCGAATGTGGGAAGAGACCATCCTCTCGACAAAATAGTCGTATCGGTGAAGTAAGACAAGCTCGAACCCGGCCACCAAAGGCTGAGGGAGTTTAGGATTTAGATTTAGGAAGCAGTCTTTTTGGCCCAAGGTATCCATATGCTTGTGGATAGGTTGCGTGATGGCGGGCCAATCAGCTGGGTCGCTCTGGCCGCTGACCCCCGAATGGCCTGACGGCCCCTGGTATCATCGAACCACGTCGGGACCCTGCGTCATCCTCAGACCACCTCACCGATCATGGCCTCAGCAGAACCCGATAAAATCCTCTCAAGAATGGTCTTTTCTTCATCTCTTCTACCCCCGCCCCCTGCTTTCCCGGATCCAGTCTCACGGGGCATCTTTTTGTGGTCTTACCTACGGAGTACTCTATCGTCAACCCTGTCGTCGCTCCTTTCCCCTTCTCTCCTCGGCGGCTTGCCATGATCTAACTCTACAACGCCGCGCCTTCCCCCTGGAAATCGTACGAAATTTCACTTGCGAATCATTTCATCTCGTTTCATTCCTTCCGCATCACAGCCGGCGATGGCGCCCTTCTCGAGATCACCCGTGATGCAGCACATTGACCGCAAGTCGCTCTACACGAGCCTCGAGGCGCGCATCCGGTACCTGCACTCGTTCCTCGACTTTGGCGCCAGTACGTAAACCTACAATGTCCGACACGGTTGCATCAAACCAAGAAGCTGACACGCGTTGGGGGGGTTCAGACGATGTCGAGGCCCTCACGTCGGGCAGCAAGTACATCCAGGCGCTGATCCCCGCCGTGGTCAACATCGTGTACAAGAAGCTGCTGCAGTACGACATCACGGCGCGGGCCTTCCAGACGCGCAGCACGGCGTTCGAGGGCCCCATGGACGACGTGCCCGACGAGGACAGCCCCCAGATCCTGCACCGCAAGATGTTCCTCCGCGCATACCTTAAGAAGCTGTGCACGGATCCCACGCAGATGGAGTTCTGGGAGTACCTGGACAAGGTTGGGTGAGCAAAACCATGCCGTCTCATCTCATTTCAAGTTTCACCGTCAGATCAGCTCATTTTAATCATTTCCGGGTTTTAGCATGATGCACACGGGCATCGGCAGGACTTACCCGCTGCACATCGAGTACATCCACATCGGCGCCGGGCTTGCGGTGATCCAGGACGTGCTGACCGAGGCCATCCTGTCGCACCCGCGCCTGCACCTGGCGCGCAAGATCGCGCTCGTCAAGGCGCTCGGCAAGGTCATATGGATCCAGAACGACCTGTTCACCAAGTGGTATGTACACGATGGTGAGGAGTTCACGGACGGCATGGACTTTGGCGTTATCGAGAAGGAGGGCTGGCTGCACGGCAAGAAGGTCCTCGACGACGAGGCGGCGACCGCCACTGCCAGCGAGTCCGAGGCCAGCGACGACACGGCCACGGGCTCCCCTGCCGCTCGCGAGAGCAAGAGCAGCGGCGCGCTAGCCAAGGGCGTCTGCCCGTTCACCGGCATGGCGGCGTCGATGGGGGATCTGAAGGTTTCTGACGACAAGGGTGGCGGTGCGCCGCCTAAGGCTGAGACTGCTAGAGCTAGCGAGTGATGAGTTTGGGGGTGTGTTTTTTTGCTGCTTCTTTTTCTCTGCTCCTTTTTCTCTGCTCATTTTTTCTCTCGGAACACTCCACTTTCACATGGCTTACGATTAGCTACTCGGGCATTCAGTCGGTTTGCATTACAGGGAGTTACGGCACTAGGGTCAATAGCACGGGTGAGCTAGGTTTCGGTTTAAAAGAGCTTTAGACGACCACGAGATGCGGTTCTTTTCTAGTAAATATTACAATCATGCGTTCTACTGTATAGGCCAAAGACCCTGCTTTCAAATGCAAATGATGGGCGGCGGGCTCTTATTCCTTGAACTTTTAATCTCCACTTTCAAGGCTACGGACGTAGTGTGGACATCAAGACAGCGGGCATAAAATGAAAAACGAAGGGGAATGAATGATAAACAACTGGGATCCATTTCTGAGCTCGAGGCAGCTTCAGCTCATCACCATCTTCGTCTCTCACTGTATACCTGTAATAATGGCTCTCTATTCCAGGGAGAAAACATTTGTCGCGGTTTGGGCTGCAGCTTTTAGATACCCTGAATTCTGCAACATCCAATAATCACAGGGATTAGCACAGGGATTAACACAGAGGTTATTACTATATTATCGCGACCCTGCTGTAATGATGTACTTCGGTCGCAGCACCTCTGCATCATCTTTTCCAGAACACCTTTTGTCTTCAATTCTACGCCGGAATTTCTAGCTTTCTAACCTCCATCCTCTCAAGCAACGCTCCAAGAGAACCGCGAAACTTCTCATCATATCAGGCCCCGCTCCCATCGTCCCCGAGAGGCGCTCGTCTCTTAATTTCCCGACCGCGGGCTCCCCTACTAGCGCCCCCGAGATCCCGATACGCTCCAGCAGCAAGAGAAAGGATCTCTCGCGAAAAATCGGTATACGCACTCGAGAATGAATATAGCGACCTAGTTGACAAGATTAAGGCCGCCCGGAAGAAGCTCAAGCCGTCGTCGTCATTCGATTCCATTTTCTAGTCAAATAATATAGATCTCCTTACTATAGACGCGGAGAGAGTCGGGCTAGATAGCTCACTCCAGTTCTATAAATATCAGGAAGGCGGCGGAGGCTTATCGAGAGAGCGCTAGGAAGACGTGGACGAGAAAGGAAGAGAGTGCCTACTATGGTATATTATTCTGGTACGACAAGTATCAATTACGAAGGAGCACGCCGAAAAGCTGAAGCAGACTCCTCTCTAATACTATCCCCAATTCGTCAAGTTCTTTAATACGTCGAAGCTAGGGTTCGACCTTAATATTAAATCTAAGGACCGGCGCGAAAGAAGTAACTAGACTAGTTAATAATAAGAGATTTGATAAAGGAGGCCTATTACCTTGGCCATAGTACTATTTGGGAGCCAGTACTTAGGACTTAGATCGACGGTCAAATAGCTATTACTATATATCTCTTCCCTTAGCGCTCGCGACGAACTCTTCTCGGCCGTTAACGGCATCTTTCTCCATCCGGCTAAATAAACGGCTTTTGATAGGAGCTTCTTGGTTATCGTCCCTAATACCGACTTGGAACTAAAGGATTCCGCAGCTCCGTAGGAGGATAAAGACGAACGGTACCAGGCCCTCAAGGATTAGGAAACGACTTTTCCTAGAGAGTACCGTATTACGGTCTTGGACGTAACGCCTTCGACTATATAGGAGGTAGTATTCCCGAAGGAGGTTTACAAGCTCGAATTCGAGAACTTAGCCGGCCTATACGGACGCCGTCTTACATTCATTACCGATATACGGCCCAAGGCTCGATATATCTAGTAGGCGTTTCTCAACGCTATTACCTAGCTGACCTAGAAGGAGTCGGTTACAAGCCCCAACTCGTTAGTATTGAAAGAAGTCCTCAAGGGGATAAGGTACTGGGGCACTTACGGAAGATACGTAAAGAGGAATATGCTCCTCGGCTTCGTTAACGAGATTGGATACGACGCCAGTAGTATCGCTGAGTCTATTATAGATTACGCTATTAAGGAGGAGGGAGGACCTGCCAATTCGGGGCCTAACCAGTCAGGGCTAGCGATCGTCGCGGACTAAGTCGTCCGCCGGATATATGAATATAATGGCTTTGACTATGATACTGAGCTGGAGGATGAGGGTGAAAGCGAGGATGACTGAGGGGGGGAGGGTTTGGAGAAGAGTAGGGGGAGGGATTATGTATGTTATGCACGACTAGCTATGAAAAATGCTAGCGAGTATAGGCACGGCGGGACACCTGGAACCAGCTCGAGGTAGAGCTCAGGACAGCTTTACGCGAGGTCATACCGCAGCAGGGTGTAACCTCGGAAGAATAGGCGGGGATGATGTGGTTTTTTCGGAGAAGGTTAAAGGTTGAAGTTCGAAGGTAGGGTAGGTACGTTTTAAGAGAGAGGAAGAAGGATCTATAGGAGGGTTCCTACAAGGAGCCCCGACCACGGCACATACATTCCACTTACTACCTCAGGTATTTCAAAGAGAGAAACATGCTTCCCAGATCCTAAACCGAGGGCTTCGAAAGCTACCACCCCCTAATAAGGACATGTTCAAAACAATCTGCAAGGCAATTAGGCCGTTCGCATCTCAAAATGTGGCTCGCTAATAAACGTAAACGTTCAGGGATCGACTGAGCAGGATCCCACCTCGCTCAAAGCGCTCAAACTATGCGTGAGGCGCAGTGGAATATGGTTTTGCGGACTGCAAGACCCTTCTTTCGCCGAGGTATTATAGCAAAGGCATAATAATGAGAATCCTGCACTCTTCTTCTTCCTCTCATCTTCCAGACAGGGCACATCTGTTAAGCCAACCATCAATGATTACACTCAAAAGATCTATCGCTTTCCTCCAGCTTGTTAGTCTCCTCATTCTCTACCATGCTAGTATATATATGACATGAAGCACACTGTGGGTGGTCGGCAGCGGGAGAACCGACCTGTAGATACGCCTCGTCTAGAAGGGCCTAATTACATGGTATTACGTAACTAGGTATCTAAGCTGGACAGAAAACCGGTCTCATCCGACCTCGAGTACGAGCTCGCTAAAAAAGAAAGAAAAGTGCCGATCGAACATGCCATTGGTTATTCTTTCACCCGATCAGAACTCTGGACACTATTATCCACATGGGAATTTTCTAGACGCTCAACCTGATATGTGCTCCGAGGCGCCTTGCTTGTGATATATTCAATTTTCAGCAATTATGAGCCGACGTGTTTGGTGTACTTACTTGCTGGGCATCTACGGGTACCTCAAAAACACTTAATGGCCGCAAGACTACGCGCACATCGGACTCGATTGGAAGATGACGTGATGGCATGAGACTGTTTCTTGATAGAACGGGTATCAGATTATAAACCATAACGAGCATGGTAGTAGGGGGCTGTGCTGTAAACAATAACAATTTAATTATGGATGCACCAGCCCAGGTTGTCTTGTCTCGATTAGGTATTATCTCACCCGATAGTTAACAAACCGGAAAGAAGCTAACTCTTCGCCAAAAGGAGAAAAACATCGCATGATGATTAGCAGGCCATTCACCAGGCTAAAGCGCACCGGTTCGGTCCCTACGTAGATACGAATCCACCACCATCACCATCACAGAGCTAGGAAATCACAATTCACTCTATTCATGCCCTGAAAGACGCGCAGCGCGCAGCGCGCCACACGCCACCGTTCTTCCTGAGCATTATTCGAATGGCCCAAAACTAAACAGAGGGTGAAATACCGAAATATAACCCCCCCTCATCGAATAAGGCCAGGGGAGCGGTCGCGGTGGTGATCGGCAGCTAACACGCTTGCGACACCCAATGGAAAGGCACTTGACCACCTACCTGCCAAGTTGGAACATGCCACACGGAAAGCAGCAGCCAGATTTTCTATTCGGGGGCATGTTGCAGCCACCAGCAAACGAATAAAACACCAATCAAGCAAGTGCGGTCTGGTCTGGGGGTCCAAAGTTTGGATTTCATCTGTTCGCTCTCCCCGTCCCGTCTCAGAACGGAATCAGGACTAAGAGATCGCCGACAAGTGCTGTTACAGTTACACGCAGTGAGATCAATAAGATATCCACAACCCCGACCTCTCTCTCCATCCCCATCTCCATCTTGTGTCGGTTCTAATGGGATAGTTACCCGGTAGGCACGTGATTCTTTGGGTCCGATTCTGACCTGCCGGCACCTATTTACTACCACCTTAATAAGGTAATTAATGAATATTGCTTTCTTAGATAGGATATCTAAGGCGAGGTAAATGTGCCTGGCAAGCAGTACCGAGCCTCCTACAAGCCGATCGTCTATTCCTTCCTATAGAGGTGAATACCCCGCTGCTGGCTTGGCGGCATCTGGCACCCTTGGATCTGGGAATGGCGGTGGGTCTCCACAAATGCGAGTCGCTTCCCCTGAACGGCCATGTTTCCTCCATGCTCACTGCATTGCAGTCAACTGTGTGGACTCTACACACAAACATGCACGCTTCCGCTCCAAGGGGAATAAATGGACTGTAGTATTGCGGTGGGTGAAACTAGTCACTGGCGCGCGTTGTGGACACGGTGAATAGGGACGGTAAGAGTGAGATGGACGTCTTCTCAGTCTAGCATGATTACCATGGGCAGATGCTTCTCTCCAAAACCCCATCTTCTTCCACTTACTACCAAGCCAAGGCCGGCACGTAGACAGGATAACGGAGGCCACGTGGAAATAATTCACTGCGGCCGGCGGGCCTCAGCACGCACCTCCAGCCCTCCGCTTATGAGGAACGAAAGGGGGTGCGCGCACGGCCTATGCGCACGCAAAAGGCTTCGTACTCCGTGCGGAGCACGAGTTTCGACAAGAGCAGCTAGCGCCCTCGCTACGGTTGCGCTCTGGTAACGCACCAGCACGCGGCCAAATCGCAGGTCAACCTGGTAATCAGGATGGGGAAAACCAGAAAAAGGATAAAAATACTAGGAAATGGCGAGAATGGCCATGTTCTGTTTTTCCACTCTCTAGGGTCTGATCAGTACAAGGACG